CACACTTCTTCCATGAAGCGCTGAACGCCCATCTTATGCAGGTATCATTCAAATCTGCAGCAAGCACCTACTGATGTTCCCATCGCGGACCCAAATAACTTGCCTCAATGTTTCCTAACATTTGCTAAACCTAAAGACCGAAGAGAATCCCACTTTTGTAAGCTGAATGAACTCCAGTGGCTGGAAATTAAATCGGTGTATTCTAGGAGCACAATTATCGATCATGAAGCCAAAATATGCAGAATCTTAAATCGTCATTGTCAAAAATTAACCAGTAGAACCTAGCTACCACGACCTAAAGGGCCTCAAATAAACTGCACAGCCCTTTAAATGCAGACTTATAAGTGGAACTTCGACACAGTTTAAAGACTGGTGAGCGTTACTAGGGTAACAAGACACAAAGGCAGGAGTGGTGGTGGTGCATGCGAGTATATTGACGACATCATGGTACGTATAGATGGAAACTTAGACCACAGCTCAAGTCAATTGGTTGTCCATATGGTGTTTGGTTATGTGGAAAACGAGGAAATGGCTTCCAAAGCTTCAGCCGTACTAGAGCATAGCATTGCTTACTGCGGCACAATAGTGGCTGATTTTTCTCGACGCATAAAATTGAGTGTAACTTGTTGCCATTTAAATGTTTCACAGGCCTACCTCCGAGGCGTGTTGAAAGTCGATTCCTGTTACTTGTTAATTATTTAGACTATGGTGTAAAACGTTTTCTAATGGGCATTTAGTCGACCGATACAGGCAAGTGGAAGGCGAGGATTTGGTTTTACGCAAGGGCAAAAAGGCCAAGCAGAGTACTGTACCAGTTGCCACGGCATAAGATTACCAGTGAATTAAACAGGTTAAGGAGGCGCGCCGAGAACAGCCCAAAATTAATCCTGCTAGGCACACTTGCGTAGGGTGAAGCTGGTCCAAGCCCACTTCGACAGGCGCGACCGACGATTACCACCCAGCCGCACCACTCCACACCGGCAGCATCTTCTCAGTCAGTCCCAACGGGATTGGCGAGGCTGCGAAGATGCGTCATTGCTATAACAGGACTCCATCGCCATTTTCTGGCTACGGGCGAGGTGACACAACAACTGCTGGTGGAACACATTCTGCCCGACTAATGAGACTAGCGTAACTAGAAAGGTACTCTAGCCCACGTCTTCCTATATGTCTCACAAAACTCCTCCAATAGTTGCAAGCACGTAACTTCAACTTAAAACCCATGAATTACACCAGGAGGACCGCAATGCCAGTGGCTCGCAGTCCGAAACGGGCATTTCGAGGACAATAACACCAATCCACCTGGCGCGTTATACCCTCAATTTCACGCGCACTTATAAAGGGTAAACCAATGACAAAATCAATCGCCATAACTATGGCATCGATGAAAACATCGAATTTGATGGGATGCCCAATAAGCCAGCAACTCAATGATACTCGCCTCTGATGCTCGGTGGAATTTTTAATGCAAAATACAGCGAAGAATGATGATGACTTTACATAATTGTATCAAATACAAGTAATAGGAAAGACGAATGTTGTGAAAAAAAGCTGAAGCCGGCGTCATGGGTGTAATTTGGCCTCTTATTGCAGCTTTTTACCGGAGTCATCCGCATTGCCACGGGATATGAGAAGAAAGGCATCCAATTCCATGGGGGGGACCGAGATTTCCGTAAGGGCGTCAGATATCACGGCAGTCCTTTCTGGAATGAGGTTCAGCGGGGTCTTGAGTGCTGAATCAAACACTGTGTTGGGGAAGATCTCTTTGATGTTTATCTACGTGGAAAAGGACAGACATAAGGAAGTGGTGAGACGACGACACTGAGAGGCGTTGACCCACATCACAGCTCCAATCTGACCACAACTTCTTTCTGGCAAGCATTGAGGTCAATTAAAGTAGACGGTGAACCCATCCTAAGTTTTATCTGGATTTTACGTTTAGGGAAACACAAACGAAGAAGACAGGAAAAGGTCTAACAGTGTTTCGCCATTCTGTGGCTTGCATAAAAGTACAGGCTTGACCTGGGAATCGAGACTAACCAGGGTTACAAAAGGACAAATAGACAACACCACTACTATTTGTCCTTTCACCCGACAGATTTATTTAAGGAAAATTGTAAACTACCGGATGGGTCACTGAAATCTTTTTACGAACGAGTCTACTTTTTTGCAATACAGCGGATGCATTTTATAGATTCCTGACTTTACACGTTGTTGTTCATGGCGTTATGGATTTAAAGTCGACCAAAGCGGTTTGGATTAGAAAAAAATTCAGTTTCTAATCTATGCAATCATGCGATCCACGAAGCAGAAAGAGTTATGTGTGAACCTGCAACGAGCCTGAACATTCGCAGGCCTCCTCGCAGAGATGAGTTGTACCACAAGCATGCAAGGATCGATGGAGCACCAGGCCAACTTGGCTTCCTGATGCGTGACTCAGGCCTGAAAGAAAGAGCACAAGAACAGCATTTATTGGTATCATCATAAAAAATTCCAAATACAGAGCCGTGTGATCCTGGATTAAACGCATACCTTTGTAACGTTCGGATTGACTGAAAAAGGCCTTCATTGTGACCAGATCGTAATCGCAATGGAGACTCAGTGGAGACATGAGTTGACGATCGGCAGCAAAGTGTTTGGGATCGAAATTGGCCAAAAATTGAGCGGCTGGGTTGTTCAGATCACTGAGAACGTAGTGCGCTTCGCCAGTGAGGTTTGGCTACAGAAGATGGAAAAATTACACGATGAACATAGCCAATGGAGCTTAAGGTGGTCGACACTTCAAAAAAAGTCGGGGAACATTGATTTCCCATTCGGTTAATTGATCTTTACGACTAAAGCAAGACCACAAAAAACAAAAATTTTCTACTGCCTGACTAAATTTACACAGTGCACAAAATGTTGTCGAGAACACAGTAGCTAAGTACAGACCTAAGCGAAATTCATGCGAAACTACACAGTTTCTTTTGTGCTTCACTAATCCTAATAACGCAATGTGCCTATTTGTCCAACTCGACCACTTCGCCGTATTGAAAAGTAGCATTTTAGATTGGATCGACTCCTATGAGATTAAATCGAGTGATCCGACTTCTCGAAAAAGGAACTCTTAGCTAAGTGGTTGAATACGTCAAAAAGCAGACGCACTCAATGACCAGCATTAGCCGGTTAGGGTACAGTTCCATGCAGCTTTGCATGCGTGGTCCGACACAATTTCACGAGCACCCTCGTAACCAGAGGAAACTACTCCTGCATTTAGCGAGGGACTCGTAGTGGAATGTGAATAATTGCATTGAGACATAGGTAGTCACACGTTCTTTGCCCATACGACTTCGCAATACCTCAAATGTTAGTCCAAGCATAATTGTGAGGGTATTTAATATCGTGTAAGTCAAGTAGAATCAAGCAGGATTTATTAATACGATCAGATATTCTAATAAGGCAAAACGACTGGATTTACATGTCAAATAAAGGAAAGTGTATTCACGGGCACAGGAAAATAACCCAAAAAGCTTAAAGGACTATACAACGTATGGTAAACGCGTTCTGGAAAAAAAGGAATTAATTTAGAACTTCATTAAGGTGTCATTGATCGGATACAGTATCTCCCACTTAACAAATGACTTATTACCTACTCACTAAAGCTCAAATTTTTCTGCGAAAACAGATTATTGAAAAAAGCATGAAATGCCTCATAAAGATACCCAGTAAAATGATTTTGTGACCCTGACGATACTACTTGAAGTGAAATTCGACTTAGAAAATCATCAAAGTTTCTCTTTTAGTGTCGTTGGGTGTTAAACCACTAGGAGACCTTAATTTCCAACGTGGTTACATTTAACCACAGAACAGAAATGGCTGTGTGTCCTGATCCCCTTCAGAGAATGAAGTTCTGTAAAAATCAGTTGGTTTTTGCAGGACTCGAATTTTCACTTTATGCCTTCAGCAAGAAAGCTTACCGCTTCTACGTAGTTACAAATGCTCTTCTCATTTTTCACGGCTGTTCCCAAATTCCCTATCAGGGAACCGTGCATCATAAAAGCTGGCATTCACATAATTTTACCACCTGTGAACAGGCACACTGCCGAGTGTGCTTCCTTGCTTTGCAGAAACTGGCCAAGCACGGCAAGACATTCGTGATTGATGCTTGAATACACCTAATCGGTTTAGCTTAAAGGAAGAAGTTATGGTAACGAAAATGGACATCACGTTAACCTGTAGGGCAAACGCCACGTGACTCAAAAAAAGACAAGTGGAAACAACAAAAAATTCCTATTTTAACAAACGTGGTAAAAAGGATTTTGCTTTAACTTCGGTTAGTTAAAATGTGTTCCGATTAAATTAAATCAATATCGCTACCTTGATAAAAATACAGGCGTTCCAATCAAGACACAAGTACTCAAAAGATATTAATGATACCATAGGACTTATTGTACTCACAGTACTTCAGTTCATGTAGAAAGAGTATAAAGTAATTGGATGGAGCAGCCAAAACCTTAACAATTTTTTGCTGAAAACACATGAGTTGGGTGAAAATAGGAAGTGTGCAAGTCCGGAATTCACGTACCACTGAAGCGTCGGGATCAGCTTGGTGCTTTACTATATCTTCCACAATGACTCGGAAGAGAGAACGACTAGGCTTGGCGTCCTCCATGGCTTCCTCCATTCCGCGCCAATCGTCGTACATCATCTTGCGCTCCAACCAGACCCTCATCTCGCCCGGCCGCTCACCCGCCGTCACGCCGAGCGACTGAGCCGAAAGCAGGCTCACCCGATGCTCACTGTCCTCGATGTAGAGAGCGCATGTCATGGGGTAAATATTGCCACTTGCGGGGATCTTCGGGTGATACTTCCTCCGGGTCATCTAGGGGAGCAAAGATAGCCACTTTCTAAAACAACGGCATTTTGTGAGATCAAAGGAACATGGAGGAAGTGCAGCAAACTTGAGTATTAGAACGGGGCATGTCACTTGAATTAGGGCAAGTCTGCCCTGGGAAACAGCAAAAATGAACGGCCACCACTGCACAATTGTATTTACAAAAATATTAGGCCACGCTTCACCAGAAAAATGTTCTGAATATCACATACCTGCAGACAATTAGAGTCAGTAAAGAAGTGACGATCCGTGTTTTGAATATCAGTTTTTATCGTCATTACCAGTTCCATGTTCTCATGGCCCTTGGTCAGATCAACAAGATTTTCGATTTCCATTGCAAGTTGACTGGGTGTGCCTATAAACAAAAACGAGAAAACCAAATCACGTCACACAGCCTTCTTGTTATTCACCACATTGGCGACTGAAAGACGGCCAGCCGGGGCGCGTGTGTTGAGTGTGAGAGATTGAGATAGCACAAAATTTACAACACACACACACACATACCTGTTCTGTAAAGACGAATAGTATGCTCAAGCTGGGAATAATAGGTCGTTAGCTCCTCCGTAACAGCCCCACGAAGGAGACGCATCTGCGCAGAGCCAGATTGGGCAAGAGGCTTGACAATAAAAAAGAACGTCGCCAGTTTCTCGAAAATCCGGGTTCATTAACAAATATTTATAAAACAAGGGATTCTGTCTTAAGAGCTTACTAAAATAAACGAGTGCTGAATAGTACCGATCGCCACCGAAGTTGAAAACCCTTAGGAGATAATGCCGCATGTGTCATTTCAAGACAGGGTTAGCGCACCAAACAGGCATACCTTGCCTTGACACGCTTAGAAAGCCATCTCCGCACTAGGCTAAGGAGGTCGTAAGGTTTAGACAAAGTGCGCGCTGTCGCGTCTTCACAAATTAAAGCCGCATCCGGCTAGTTGTCCTCACCCGCTCAAAATCGAGAGGTAATTTTCGAATTTTGCCAAACCCGCGGCAAACTCGGGAATGCAATAACGTCCTAATGCAAAGACACTTAATCTAAAAGCGACCATTTCAGAAGTCGACTTCGACTGAAGTGATTGATCTTAAATGAGAGATAGCGGACAGCAAGCACTATTTAACCATACAAAGCTGTCAGAAATAAAGCGATTAAATGATGGCCCGAGTTTCGTTGCGGCGGTCTGTGTAAAAAGGAACAAAAGTGGAAGAAGGTAGCGACAACTAACTCACCACTGGAGAATTTTGATTAGAGCCAAGGTAAGCACCCGATTTTCCAAGAGCGGCTGCAGTCTGAACAAGCTCAAAACCGATATCAATTCGATGGGAATAGCCGGTCTTCTTGTTACGGAGAACCTAAGGAAACAGTGAAAATCGCAGTGAGGTTGCTGTTTAACTACCACTCGCAACAACCATGTAACGCCTTTTAACGAACTGGGGACTAAATCTCGGAGGATACTGAGCACACCATGTGGGATTCACGTCATTCAGAAGTGCAGTAACTAGACCATCTGCGGCGCACCACACATCAACGAAAACCTCGATTGTTGTGGACGAACAAGACTAATTAACTCACTAGTTAGAGTGGAACATCGACAAAAAAAGACAAGGAAACAGGTTAGGAATTATCACACTGGAAAGTGTTAATTTCTCGTTTCGACTACAATCCAATCTGAAAAGGATGGCAAACTAATAGTTGCTGATCTGCTAGTAAAAAGAGGGCTGAAAATCACTGTAATGGACCAGACGAATGGCCCCCTGTGTCGAAAATCATCGAAAGTACAAAACACGTGGCCAGATCAATACGCATTCTTATTCTGTCGGATTATGGGAAAGCATCTAGAGCTGATACCGTAACCCGGACACACGTGTCCCTAAACGCTCAAGTTTGACAAAACCAACGCGTATCAGATAACAGCTTACGATAATAGTAGACGGAAAGTAAACCAAGTAATGCCCTACCTGGCTGAGGCCAGTCTCCGCGTTGAATTTGAGCTCCAGAAAGTCAGATTCAAGTTTTGGCGCCATTGATTCGACATCTCTTTGTGCATAAAATAATGCTGCTGAGGGTCTACAAGAGGAAAGTGCAATCTCAGCGCTAAAGAAACTCTGTAATTCTCCTACATTATGAGGGACATTAGGGTACTCAGGATGACGCCAAAATATGTCCGTACCGCTTTGGTTAAAACATTTTGGAACAGCTGTTGCGACCTCATCGCAGTCTCATAAGTGTGCCCTTTTAATGGATAGGTCATATATCTCGGCAAACGTGACAACGAACCAAGCATTCACCAAACTGCGATGAATGTTGTAATGCCAAAAATCCAGAAACTTACGGCACTCCCACGATGTTATAAAGCGTTGGCTTAGTGAGGAGAATGGCGGGAGTTGTCGAGGCCTTTGTGGACGCTTTCACGGTGACCTTGACGATCTGAAGAGGCGTGAGTCGAATAGGACCGGCACTGAGGCGAAAAAGGAAGGCGGAGTCGCCAGACATGTGGAGGGACGAGGGCTCAAGTTGGACGGGCGGAAGGGCAGTCCCATCGTCGAGGCACACAAGAAGGGAGAGGACCTGTGGTTGCGTGGTGCTCTGCTGCTTAGCCACTCGCAAAAGCTTTGTTAAGTCGACGTTCACCACAAAGATTTGGTCACGAGTGCGTGACAGTTGGTTGAAGATGAAAAATGTCCTAGAACAAATGATAGGCAAACTTTAGCGTTAATGACTACCTTAATGCAAAATTGTTTTAACTACTGACCAAATTGAGCAAAACCCCGTTTTTGATCCTGAAAGGCGTTAAATTCGAGTAGCAGTAGTGTCATAAGCTGCGTTTAGTGGGATAGCTGGACTGGTCTAGACAAAATTTGAAACCCACTAATTAAATCTTCTGCTTGATAAAATGGCTAGCTTATTTCCATAAAGACGCATGGCCCATGCAAACAACATTAAAAGGTTCAATGACTAAGTCATATCGCCCTAGTGCACTAGTATTTAGCAAGTCAATATATTTTACCTAATAGAACTGTTGATTATGAGTATTGCAAGGATCCAAGTAACATTAAAATTCCAAAACGTAAATGCTGAAAGAAAACAACACACTTCTGGCGAGCTTAGACGAGAAAAACCGTTCAAAATCAGTTCAAGTTCGGTAAAAACTTCAAACTGTACAGCAAAAGCCGTAAAATGGAAATACTTGCGAAATGATACTCGAGAATAAAGTGGCTGCAGATTTTCCATGTCCTAATTCCGATTGAAATAACGGAAAAGGGAATAATGCTCCTTTAATGGCATTGAAACTTCAAAAACCAAGCTAACTTCACGCCAAACACTAGCTAAAAATCGACCGAATATAGGGCAATGGGAAATGAAACGTTTTCACATTCCGTTAAATGTACTGGGTTTGAGATTATAAGACTAGTCCTCTGATCGAAGAACCGATGACACAAAAACTATCGGCTGTTAAAGCCGGCTTTGTTCCAGGCAGATGGCGTAACTTGACGATGCAATTGTTAAGGCAATGGTAATTATGGGACGACGCCAGTGCCTTACTTTTCGACATCGAAGTTATCAAAGCTTATGTTAAACAGCTTGGAAGTGGATTCGGCGCCCCAGTGTCGATTGGCGGAGAGCATAACTGGCTGTCCTCCTTCCGATACCTGCTTCTCGATCGCCGTGATAACCTCCGTCGATTCGAAGCCAAGAAGAAAGGCGGCACTTGTCGCGGAAATGACATGTGCGTGTAGAAGTGCTTGTTCGAGTCTGTAAGAAAACATGCCATTTAAGATTTTCGGACTATACAGAGAGCGACGACATTAAACGAAACATGCAAGGCATGATTGATACCGACATGGACACACAAACGACAGAACGACGTGCATTTGTGTCACATAACCTACTGAACAGGTGATAAAAGATTCATGTTAGCTTTGACTGTACATGTACCGGAACCTAGGACTTTGTGAACGAGGGTCTAACCCCACCCCGGAGATTAGCACAATATACTTGGTTCCGATTTGAGCAATCGTTCAATTGATAGGATTTCACCATCATTCACTTTGACGCACAACCATGAAACAGTTAAGACACCAAAATCCGAGTCTAATTGGTACAGACTAAGGCACAAGCCACTGGCGTAAAATCAGAGGCATAACGGTGACTCAGCTCCCCTTGTTCCAACTTGTACACAATTAGGGTCTATCTCAGATTAACAAGAACGAAGAATAGATGACATTGAAAAGGCCCGATGGCTGACTGGGAAACCTGAAATGCACACCAAGAAATGCGCTGTGGCTAACTGGAAAGTTGAAAGTGAGTAAAAGTTCAAAGTTACAGTTACTAAACTCAGTGGAAAAAAAACTAATGTTTCAAAGTTCCAGTTCATTCGAAAGTCATTAGTTGGAGCTACAAGATTAGGTCTCGTGGCATGAGCTGAAAATGGAGACCAAGTATGAAGATGAAAAGACCCACTTTTCATGAAAATCAGCCATGACGTAGGACTTGGAAGTTCCAGTGATTCCGTCGTGGTGTTGGAAGAGAGCCAGACTCCTTCGCGCCAAAGTCAAGGCCTTGAAGAGTTCAAGAAATACATTTTCCGGCTTGCCTCTTGGAACATTCCAAGAACGGGCAAATGAAAAGAGGATTTCTGCGGTTCTTGGGAGGAAAAAATAGGAAGACGTGTGTCTAACAGATTAATTACGATAGTAAAAATAGCACATGGTCGTAATATCCACTTCGCAGTATCTCCAAACAGCAATATTTTATTAAGCTAAATTATGGACTATAATCAAGCAAAGGGCAACACAACTGCACGCCCTGCTTAAAGAAGCGGCATCTACTGGCCTAATGACCTCACGGCTAAACACAGGAGCCATAACTTGGTAAAACAAGAATAAGTCGCTAATGCAACGCAAACCACGTAGAACAGAAAGTTGAAGGGAATTGTGTTGTGCGAAAAGACTGAGGGGTAGGCATAACCTTGAACTCGTCGTCAGTATTTTCCAGCTGTTTTTTTATTGGTTGCAATATGTTAAAAAGGTTACACGCCTGTATTGCCAAGAAACTAACAAATTGCCATTAATAAAGATCTCAGCCCACTTCGGATGAGGCGTTTCGGGATGTAGAGTATTTGACCAATGGTTGGGGGGGAGCTTGGAGTGGAGCATGTGTTCGTTGGACAAATACTTCTACCAATAAAGGCAAGCAAACTCCTGACGAAGCTTGTATTCATTAAAGTAAGAGTGGATGTCGAAGGAATTGATGAAATTTTTGAAATAGGCACTGTAGGTATGGGCATAATAGCTGAGAATCATTTTAGAAAAGCCGAAGATGACGCTGAGTTTTCCGAGAGCTCCAGAGTCGTAACATGAGGAAATTGAATTGGTTAAAACTAAACAACTTTCTCTGGTATACTTAAGGCAATTTAAGAATTTGCCATGAAACATGCGCCCACAGCTTACTTCTGGACATTCTTCCTTGACAACAATTTTTTGGGCTTCACAATAATTTAAGTTAGTGATGCCTCACGGCACGATCCTCAGTGGCAAGGCATGTCGTCCAATCTCCAATATTCTTCACCCACGCAGCTCTATCACCGCGATGTAAGCAGTTTTTCTGTTCGCTTAATTTTTAAGAGAGAACGGTTTAAGACACAGCTGAGACGTCTCATCTGCTCGATATGACAGTTGGAACGAGGTAGCTGCAGTGACAAGACTCCACCAAAAAAAATTGTGCTTTGATGTTTGCACCCCAAAAAGTACCTCAGCTCAGCTTCCAAGTAACGTGACATCGCCTTGTGTGAAGGTCGGCTGGTGTAATAACCACTCCAGTAGTCGCGGTTGAGGTCTGAATAGGTGAAAAAGTCGCCTCGGAAAGTGGGAAATCCTTCCGACTCCTTGCGAGAGTGCACAAGATTGAAGTACTCCGATAGCGTACCAAATCGGATCTACGTGACAAAAATAGAGAAGAAGTGAAAGTGATGTCTTTACCCACAAAATGATTCCTAGGGACCAAGCTAAATAATACATCTAGAAAGTTGCCTCTTTGGAAAAGTTTCTCACTGAAATACGCATGCAAATCACGGTACCTGATTCCCATATGCTTAAACCGTTTTAAGGGAGTATTTTAGCAGCGTGTGTGACCGACAAAAAAACAACTAAAGCCAGTAATGCTACAAAAGCATGCGCTCTTATTCGATAAATCAAACACTCAAACACCCAAAACAACTGTTTGGTGTTGAATAAGTCGAGTGGAAGGAGTACAATAAAGCAACTGAGAAGGCAGAAATTTTACTTGAACACAGCTAAGGCTAAAAACAGGCACATACATGCATTTTATAAGATGGCTCTGCATTTATGTGGTCAATGAGCAGTTGGTAATTGGACATCTGAAGGCTCCATTCATCAGTAGTCAAATAGCGGAAGTCGTCCCCCAGGGGAACAAGCAAGACACCGTTGTTGTTAAACAGCTTCGCCTTCTTCCGATATTGATCCACTAGAACCTTCACCCTAGAAAAAGATCGTCGGTTGGTGAAGTTGTAATGTTCAATCTTATACCGAGTGCAAAATCCAAACCCACCGTTCCTGAATGTTCAACTCCGAAACGACGATGGGAGGTTTTCCCCAAGGACAACCTAGCTTAATTCGCAGGAAATCAAACTGACAGCAAATAGAGGGGTCCGGGCCACAGGTGTGCGGTATGTCGTATGAGTAGAAGGGCATGACATGGGTGAACACCTCCGTGTGACCGGTCGAATCTAAAGAACCAAGAAAAAGGGAGAGACACTGGTTGTCAAAGACTCGAACAAAATCCTAAGTGCCGATGCTACAGAGCTCGAAATTGACGAGATCTGAGACAGAGGACTCTGGTTATACTACTTGACTACAAAGGCGGAAACACTAAACACTCGAATTTAGTCACAAATGTGCTGGCTTCGTTGACAAAACACAAACGCCTCTACCGTCTACGGGGAACATTCGTCGTTTGAATTTCAACTTAAAATTATTCAGCTGCGGTATTAATTGCACTTTCTTGTGATATCTGATCCAACTGCGCTATGCACAACCAATCTTCCCGTGTCTTCCAATCCGTTTCCAGCTACTTATCCTCCATAAGTCCATTTTCCGTTAATGGTACCTTAAAATCTTCATCCAAAAAGGAATCCCTTTTGGCTTGCAGAAACTATTCAGTAACAGTCTCGCCTGGTATTTGAAGATGGTTATCAATAGTTGGTGAGATCACGCTTATTGTACTTCCTCATTTTTATTTATCCTAGTTTTAAGACAATAACTTGAGAGCATCGTCATTAAAGGTTGAATTTCTAAGGATAAAGTGAAAAGAAAACTTTTCGTTTATCAAAAAAAACCAACCCATGTGAAATCACTCAACGCCCGTACGCATAACATTTGTGATGTTGTTGATATGATGCAAGCAAGATCGGAATAGCAACTCACTCCAAACGACACAACATTTAAAAAGGTGCTCGCAGAATCTTTTATGCTTCACCGACCCTCATGACGCCTGCTTGTTCAAATCGACCACTTTGTCATGGTGAAAGGTAGCTTTACAAATAGCGTCGACTTATATGAGGTCGAGTCTGATTCAACCTCCTGAGAAAGGCACCCTTAGTAAAGTGGTTGACTTCGTCGGAAAGCAACCGCACTCAATGACGAACAATTACAGGTTAAGGTATTACACCAGTTCTAATAAACTAGAGGGCGACGTTCGAAGGCATTTGAGTAAGAAGCCCGGCCCAGCTTCCTTACTAGCACGAGCAGGTTGGCTTCGTAAACGGTAACTGCGACGCTGATTTTGAGTGGTAAAAAGAACATAATTGTTGTCCCCTACACCTTAATCACGACTCAATTACCTAACGCATATTATCCGAAATGCACCGGTATGTCGAAAAATAATTGCGCATTATGCACGAGAATCATACCGACACAGCATGTGGTTCGTCTTCAGCAGCATAGTGCGCGGAGAATACGATGGGTTTTGCGAAATAAAAACTCCCATACCTATTTAGGGACACTACAGCACGGTACGAATTTCAATGGAATAAATGAGTACCATTTTATGCAAAGAAGCAGCAGCAGTCGCTTGATGGAGTTGTGTGTAAGTTGGAAAAGTGTGCGAAATATTTAGCACTTAAATTTTCTTTGTCCTGGTTCTCTACCACGATAATTCTTGATGATAAGAACTTCGACTAGGCTATGTGGATACGATTAAACCAAATTAGTTGCATAGAAATACAAGAGGCATTGCTTCTTTATGTTAAATTAAACTCGCACGAACAAACTAAAAGCATGAAAGAGATTTGAACATAATCCACTGTAATTTAAAGGCATGTGGAAATAACAAAGCACCAGTCCGTGTTGTTCGAATTTGTCATCGGCTTTGATACCTCACCATATATTACTTGCAATAGTGTACAGAGCTAGCCATGTTATCGACGGTTTGATTCGCGTCATTTCCTAAAAATTGTGGCTAGTGATAGGCAGGAATGGATGCATGCCCGACATTTAAGACTGCGCTCTGTTAAATTAAATCACGTCTTAAAAACTAACTCATGAAACCCAAAAGGAAACAAGCGCACCTCGATTAAATAACTATGGCGAATGGGCATTTTCACTAGTTCTCCCGTTTCCTCGAACTTTGTGAAAACAAAAAGTTCGTGGCACAATAGTGGGTAGATATCCACCTTTCATAGACGGGACTTAATTGTATGAAAAACATCTAGGATCCACGAGAACTCTAGTTAATTGTCGGACCGGGGAAGCCTTTTGTCCTACTGACGGGCACAATCACAACTATGAAAATGGGAATTCAAATTTGACACTGCGCCCAAACAAGGCAAGAGGGCCGACCGACCTACCCCAAGGTTGACGCCAATAGAACTCCAGACTCTGTTTCTTGGCCAGGGCTCTCTTCACCTCATAGTGCACCCGGTGAATGAGGATGTTTTTGATTCCGATCTTGCGCAGAAGATAGGCCTCACTGGTACTGTGTCCAAACGCATCGATGGCCCAGCTCACATTGGGCAGAAAGCCTGCAACATTAGACAATCAGCTGATTCGTGTGGGTGGGTGTGTGTGGGCGCATTCACCCGAAAGGGCGCAACGAGAAGTGGTTTTCATCGATTTGAATATGAGCTTACCACTAGCGACAATTTTCGCGTGCTTAAGCTAAAAATTGCATTTCAATTGAGATTATGACCCTGAAAAACATTTTCTTAGTGATGTGGTAAATCTGACTTTCGACAGAATTCGTACAATGTTTTTTTATCATTTGGGTATCAAGAGTTTTAAAAACCACTTAAGTGGATAAAACCTATGAGAGTAGTGCCAGACCTTATGTCATAGACACGAGATCGTAGTTGCCAAAAATACTGCAGTAGGTGCTTAACACTCAGGTTAAATGTGTAAGTGTGAAGATTGCGAAGTACAAATCAATCTACTTAAGACACAATATCTTTCCGCAAGGGGCTCTTGAAGTTGAGACCAAAAACATGGATTACTTACGCAAAAACCAAGTTAAAATTTTGAATCAATTTTGGAATTACCATTACCTAAGCCACTATTTAACTAACGGTTACCACGCTAATTATCTGCCTAACAATGTTCGTTGTTTCGTGGCGACATTGGGCATTTGTGGAGAAGAATTCAACAGAAAAATTAAGAGCAACACTAAAACGATCCTGGGGTAATATTAACACACCCCATGACAAGTACACCAAACTACCTTCGTTCTGCAAAACAAAGCATTCAGTTTAAAATGTAAGATAATTAAAATTAGGAGGGGATTCGGGCACAAGCGAATATCCTTTTAGACCCAATTTATGTGCAAATTATTATCTGACCTAAATCACAGATCACTACGAGGTAAATATGAACTTACCAAGATTATCTAGTAGCCAGTGCTGACCTTCTATAAGTTGAGAAATAATTGCAGCATAGTGAGTCGTGGCTTCATCGTTCATGACCCAACCACCGGTTGCAACCTCCCACTGACCTTCGCGAACAAGTCTACAATAATGACAATAAATAAGCATGCCAATTTGTAAGAAGACTTAGAGATGGGGTTTCTACCAAGAAAGTAATGAGTACAGGGAAGAATTTGTCTGAGACGCACAAACAAAACGCTTGTGTCAGTTACTATGAGAATATAAGGCAAACAAATTTACACAGGATTATTGTCAAAATTAAAAAATAATGCAATTACACTAAACTTAGCACCTCTACAATGAGTAAACTATGATTACACACAACACTGAAATTGAGTTGAGCTATTATTTTCAAAACCAGTACAGCCATTTGCAACCAAAGTCTACCGAGTCATTTCCAAGAAGACTAAACATCTAGACCAGAATCGTGAATAAACTGATCACTAACTTGGTGAAAAGAGTTCGCACTGACAGTGATAAATTCTGCCACCACATATCAAGATAGACAACTTCGGCATAGATGAAGCGTAAAGACGGATTTTTTCCCAGAAAATCCACCGTTGCATCCAAGCTCTGGTGCGTGAATTTGTCAAAGTACTCTTTCGGAGTCATTTTCCAACCTTGATAAGACAAAATCAGAACTCAATCAGACAGATGCCAAAATTGCCGTTCAATAATTAACATGACAATAATATACCGGTTCAAATATAAAGGTGTTATAAAGAAAGCTAAAAAACAAACATTGGTCGGCTTGATAAAAAAAAAAGAATAGTTAAAGCTACCACGTGTTAAAACAGGACTTGATATAACGGCGAAGAATTTTAACAAGACACACCGGGATCTTGATGAGAATAAGGTAATAGAACGACCTCGAGGTTATGTTTATCCCAGTCTGTTTGCGAGTAAGTGATATCAAATCCCTGATTCCATACACCACCATCGTCATTTTCAAAGAGAATACTCTCGTAGAGATCATAAATCTACAATAATAATAAAGTTGGAACTGGAATTTTGTTATCATGACGTAAAGTGATCAACTTTAATATCACAGTGGCCTAAGCACAAAAAACATGAAATTGTGGTCCGGAATGAGGTCCATTCTCACATTGCTAACGGATATTTTTTTCTAATTTTCAACAAAGTGTTAAACAAACTAAAGCAAATTTATGGTAAACTATTGAATATGTTATGGTCTATTTTACGTTAAGTGATGTGATTTATGCATTTTAACGCACCGTTACGTTTGTTCTCCCGGCATGCGCTTGGAGGTTGCAATTCAAGGGCAGCAAACGCTCTTGATTTCTAAAATTACCAAATTTGCAAATTTAGTTTTCCATTAGCTCAGCAATGCTGCACCACAAACCATTATTCAGTGCTACTACCGAAAATCACGAAAAGATGACAGACTAACAATAATCCTATCCTGCAGTTAATATAGGATGAAATGCCGGAATATTCTGAAAGCCGTTAATGTACAAAACTAACTAACACGACAAACTCAACATGCCGAACACCATCGAGTACACGACAAAAAGTCTACCGGAGTGACCATGTCAGCTGTGCACTAAATTTGAACTCAAACAGGCACAATAATACAAAACCTTTCCCTTTAGAAAAATTACGCAAGCAAACCCGAAATAGAGCCGGAAGGTATATCAGCATTTATCAACAAAAGATTCTTATTAAAGATTCACACAGCATTAATTGGGAGTCGCCATAAGGAAAAATACAATTAATGATCAAGATAGTACTGTGCTTAGAGAATATGCTAATATAGTGAATTGGTCCTAGGTTAATAAATGATGAATGTATCGAGCAAAAGTAAGTTAATTTCACAAATAAAAAGAACATACAGTTCATTGGGGCTGATATCTTCATGTTCATTCACCAGAAAATATTCCCTCACACCATGTGGAGACTTTTCATGCCATAACCTAATGTATACGGTGGCATGCTTGGTGAAAATGCTTATGAAAATCAGGAACAAAAATAAAACCCCACAAATTATACCAAATCGTCTGAGTCGTGGGCGCATTAACACCGCAGAGAGATAAAGCCCACAATGGTATCGTCGCGAAAACCCAATGAAAGTTTAGCAAACTTATAAAAAAGCGGCCTTGTTTAAACCTTTTGAGTGATCGAAACAAAGAAGACATAATTAAAATAGATTACTTTCATTTAATTATAGTCCTCTAGTATATCGATTTATGAAAATTCTGATAAAAAGCAGGGAAAACATAATTAATGTATGCAATAACTAATTGCCGTCCTCTTCATTGTACGATATTTAGCTATGCCTCATTGGACTGACGAGTTGCTTTTTAGCCTACTTGATAAAGAGGTTTTATTTAAGCACCTATCACTGCTACACCCCAGAGTCTATACAATACAACCGTTCCCTCGAAGGCCAGCGCAAGGATTCAAGACCCCTTTCTAAATAAATTCCAGCACTTAATATGCTCGCGTTTTGATCGAAGGATAATGACGCTTTGCTCCCAAGTGGCTTCAGGGGGTGTCATGTATTTCAACTTTGTGACATACTTTACAAATGGTATTCTAGCATATATTCGTTCAGACTTGTGAAATTCGAGAGATATTCCCGTGTTCTACCGTTTGGTTCTGCAAATTTCAAAAATATTGGACCAAAGCCATAGAATGTGCACATGGTAAATCAGGATTTTAATAGGCGCTTAAGACTCTGTATGTGTCCCGTGAGTACCAGCTTTCCACCCCAAATTTTTGGTACAAATTTTAGGGTAATAGGAAGCTTAAACACTTATGTCGATTAGTTCGGGCAGAAATATCAATTTTCAATACATTTTAACAATTTCAAGATAGGTTCCAACATTATTTTTCCTGTGATCATTCCATATTGAGAGGCAGAGTAGCCGATTTAGTACCAACATTTTACTTCAGCGAGCAGTATTTTGAACACATTTCAGGCCTCATGTTTTCAAGTAAATAAACAGGAGAAAAAAATTGAATTTACTGTTAAAGATTTAGTGTGACTATTTGTGACATGATCTTTATCGTGACCACACTAGAAAACATATTAATATGTATATTCATCAATAAGCAATCTGACAAATCCAACAATTTCTCTGCACCACATTTGATAACCTGTGTTATGCGGTTAATGGCGCCCATTAAATTCGTTAATTGGGCCTGTATTTCAAAATTTTACAGTCCAACAACTAAGAATCAAGAATAGATGAAAATAAATCGTAGGTTAAGTCTGGGATCAGCTGCATTTTTGGTCACGGGTGAATTACTGATTTTGACGTCCATATTTTTCCAGCAAGCTATACACATTACTAGAAATTACAGTTATTTAAACTCCCATTTTTACAATGATAACACAAAAAAATACGTATTTGTGAAAGTATAAATCCAGTGGTTAATAAAACCCAATGGTTATTCGCGAAATTGCCAGGATTGAGTTGTCCCTACCGCACCAACTAGACCAAGGCAGTCAGTGTTGCAGCAATGTCTCCAACTAAGGCACACATCGTTGCTACTTCAAGCTACGATACCCAACCCAGCAGGAAACAAGTTAAGAACACCACTTGAAATCATACAAACATGATGACACTTCGATGCCTCCTGCCGTCACACACGCACGCGCAAATATTCATGTTGTGGTTATTACACAGATTCACCAAACCATTCAAGAGCGCCTCGTTTGACGTCACCATCTTGTCATTCACAAGTTTCAAACATTCACGCAAAACATGACAACTCGAAGGGTGAACACCGCCTAAGTTGCAAGCCAAAAATGACTGCAGACGGTACGATAGCCCTGGACCACTTAGACATTCGCATTCTGCCATTTCAACCACTTTCCAGCAGTGATACTTGAAACATCGCTGAATTCTCGGCTTCACTACATTGTAACACCCACTTTACGCATCGTGTCGTCGTGAATGGCACAAACTCGACAAATCGGGCTTCACGCCCCACCTCACCGCATGCCAATGATTCTGCATGCATTCTTCCACTTCTTCTTTTTCGTCTTCTTCTTCCTCTGTGAAACGGCGGCGTTGAGTCCGCACTGCAACTTCGTAAGCTATCTCCCGCATTGCTGGATGATTGCTCTAGCTACAGGTCTACAGTCAGTTATTAACTCCATCAGATTGAACAAGCACCCAAGCATTCCCAGACAATGCTCACCCAACTGCAGTTCAATGTCACTTCCACTAACACCACCTGGATTTACGTCCATCTGGGTCACCTTGTTATGCGTGGATCCACATTTCAATGGTGATCCCAAACATGCAGGTATATTTCAACACTCAATTCAACCCCACTGCATTGGCACATCGACCATCCGACGAAACACCACGCCGTACACAACGTCTCCGCACTCTCGGACTACAACCACGATCCCTGCACTCAGTTAAAACGATAATTAACACTCTGTTACGCCCTGACGCCATCGAGACACCAACGCAGCCCTGCATCTCATGATTTAATTGCTTTTTTCTCTCAGATGATTGGCATTACAAGCACGCCTTAACCTTTTTTTCAAGCCATCAACGGCTTGTGACACGTTTTGGTAATGGAAGAGTAAACACACTTGGCCCCCAGGCTCGATTGGCGTTATTACAATTGACGTCACTTAAACGATATTTGTTCATTAGTCGGTGTTGGATAAAATAGCTTTAAATTCACAGTAATATCGTCTCCACTACACTGTCGTTACCATATTTCCGGATGATTTATCAACGGTCGTTATGCCATTTCCATAACTACTTATTTTCCTACAAGAAACTGAAAAGGGCATTGCCTGTTAAGAGACAAGAGGAACCTACCAATTCCCGGACAACCAATTCGACGATTTGCTGGAAGGAGAGTTTTGAACTCCCCTTGTTAAGCTCGTAGATGTGCAGCATCAATTTCGGAATGACCTCGGTGTCTGTGTCTGTCTCAAACACAACTCCTTTGCGTTCCTGCGGAGGTTAATAGAATACTTTTACACAACGTAGTAACTCCTAACAACTAACCTATGGAGCATGCGTATGCTCATTCCATCATGTATCAGGAGGCATTAATAAATATGGGAAAATTAGCTGCTTTGGGACTGTTCGCGGTTTTTCGTATTCACCTCGTCGTGGCACGCTCTGAGACACATATAATGGAAATGCATAGCGTTACTTTGAACGAATTTACATGGGGGGAAAAGACGACTCGGTCAGGTGGGATCAAAATTACTGGAAATTTGTAAGAAAAATCGATTATTCGAGCTCTATTCGACGAAAACCATAACATTTAATATAATTATGCCAAGAAGTCGGCTCAAAATGGCCATAGAGTCTGTAACTAAAATGCTCGATAATAGGGAAACATACGAGAATGAAAAACACCGTAACAATTCTGCGGTAATCACTTACCAAAAGAGATCGCATGTCTTTGAAGTTGGTTATAATGCCATTGTGCACGACAGTGAAGGCGTGGGTCTTATCCGACGACTGTGGATGGGCATTCACTTCGCTAGGTTGACCGTGTGTGGCCCAACGCGTATGAGCAAGTCCAGTGTGGGTCATAAAGGTGGGGTCGTCATTTTTTTGAGAAAGAATCGCTGCAGGGAACAAAATTCTAATTATTCAGCATGTGGAGGGATGGCAATTTACATTAGAATTAAAGGACAGAGGGTTGGATTATTTTTTGAAAAATTGTAACGTGTTACGAAGGCATAAAAACTAACGAAGACTTCAGAATTTACTAGAGACAGCAAATAAATCAATATTTGAGGGCTATAAAATTATTTGCTGTATAAAAATAGGGCTTTCAGCATTACTCATCTAAAATTTTGCCATTTGAGGCCATGAGCAAAGCAGTTCGGGGTAGTTGCTTTTATGACGCTTCCCGTCTTTACGCTAGCGAGTGATTCCTCAATACTGAATACAAAAATTAGAATAGGACCAAGTAAAAGACCAACCATACATGTGACTGCTTTGCTCAATTCTTCCACTTTTCCAGGACGGCGAATAAGCAGAACATTGGACGAGGGTGGCACATCTTCACCGTTCGTATCCCCTTGACAGTCAGGACAGCATTCATCAATGGCAATCCCAGCTGAATCATAGCCTCGGTATTCGAGCCGACGAAGTCCATTAATCAAAATTTCGGCAATTCGTTTTCTCGAAACCGGGGTATTATAATTTAAGTAAGCGAAAATGCCTAAAATAGAGCAAGTTTTACTTAAGACTTGAATTAGGTCGCACTCACTACGGCAAATAAAAATGAATTTAGAAAAAAAGTAGCCAAAGGAGGAATAAGAACAAGGTACTACCTTACTTGGGCGGTTGCTAATATGTAAAGGCAGATTTCTTTATCTAGTGTATGAGATGGCATTCGGCAAACACAACATGGTTTTGCAGTATAATACTTAAGTGCTCAGTACAAAAAAATTGCATATAAGACATGGGTTACGTGCAGTCCGCAAGCGATACTGAAGCTGACCAAGTCAATCCAGAATATGTGGTCTTATGCTACCTCATTACTACAGACAGTACTTGCATTTGGAATGAGTACCCTTAATTAAACCCTAAATATTACAGAGCCGTATTTTAGAAATACCCCAGAATAAAGCTCTACTAAAGTAACATAATAAATAGAAAGATCCATCTGTGTTTCTTAGGACTGCTTGATTACTAAGAAGGTGGCTGCTGAATACTAGGAGCACCTCGAAACGACAGCAAAACCCCGACTTCGCACTCACCACACATCGTACGAACGACAGACGACGCGTCCTTCTACTAACCTTGAAGATTTAAATAACCAACTCATTCAAACAATTTGACACAGAATAAAATTTTTAAAGTTAATGTAACTTTTGCATGTCTTTTCAGAGCTACATTAGCTTATTTAATCAAGATGCTTGTCAAATTTTTGGACTTTGAATGTCAATCTGCTGTTCTCCCAGAAATTCACTTAAGATTTATTTTCATATTTATCTGTCATTTGGAGGTATTTTGATTAAAATCATTTCTCTCACGTTTAACTCTGTGTGTCATGACAAATTGATTTCATACTTACCTTTACTATTCTGTCCATCCACTTTAATTAATTGACCATGTACTTCGAAAGTTATAAGCAACTATAATTTTTACGACAAAGAATAAGCAGTATCCCTTTGTGCACGCCAACTATTCATGAGATGTAAAACGCATTGCAGTCCTACCATAAAGAAGACTGGTGCAACAAGATAGGCTTATCAACATACTAAAAGCCAGATCAGGAGGATCGATCCAGCACGGCTGCAGCCCATGTCTACACCACAGAAAACGTTATTTTGCTGGAGCGATGCAATGTCATGGATTTACCTAATTGATTAACTGTATCCTTCTTATTTTTTTATAGTGGTCAATGTATTATACACTGTACTTTCTATCTGTTTTTATTTTCACTTTAAAAACTTCAAAATAAGACGGTACATATCGTAGAACTAGCCAAAAACAAACCCTTAAGAGCAGCTCAAATAAAAAGGCATTGTAAACCTGCAGTATGTGTCTCCTACTCTCGTTAAAGCATGGCACATACCCAATCAGGGACGTGGAATCGAACTCTTAAATGATCAAAATGAAACTGCTAAGACAATAAGAATAAACAGCCTCAGTGATTTGTAGTGGAATGGATAAGCAAGATATCTGGATAGTGATGGAAGGCGAAAGTCATCGATCACCTATCAAAAAGTTAGTTATTTGCGTCGTTATCTTTAGCCACTGATGCACACAGATTTCTTTCACTTTCGTTTAGTACAAATATAAGCTGTTGTCGAGTTCGAGCCGAAACCCTGCATGGCGTCGTGGTGTAATTGAAACATGAATCATTGGGCAAATTATTCTGCCCTGAAAGCATTCGTTTGGCTTGTAAAGCGGTAATCATAAATTGTATGGTATCACGTATTCCAGAATAACTTTTTTGCATGTTGATGTCGACCTTTTTTTAAAAAAACTGATGCAATTTACAGACCATGAACCGCTATAGCAGTTTTGAACTTCACTATTACGAAAAATCCTTAAATTTCGCGTAAAAAGATACGATTCTCCCAAATCTTAATCAATGATTTCTGTAAAATTTCAACTTTGATTTTGTCTGAAGATGGTTCTTTGCTACTTATGCACTTTATTACTACCATATGACTAACACAGCAAGTTTGCCGACGTGCTAAGCTCATTGAGGATTGTAGAATCTTATTGACCATCTTGATTTAAAATGCACGTCTGTATCGCCATTACATAACCCAATTGAGTTAATAGTTGTTTGACAATATGCTTTGCACTAGACCTTAGAATATATTGATGAGCTGAAAAGTGCAGTTTTATGCTAAAATGAATTTTGAGGGGTTTTGTTTTAGATAAACCACCTTATGGTTTAGCGTTCATTTGCCTGACTCTATTAACAAATGATTTGTTTAACTGGTACTTGTTTATTAGGTTTTATTTTCCTAAGACAGTTAACACACTGTGGGTACCTAGGCTAGAACGTCAGTGGTAGCCCTGAATACCACAAAAACATATATGTGTTTTCTTAAACAGAAAACCTTTATTGACATTACTGAAAAAAGTTTATGATGTGCACGCACTAACGTTGTGTTTATAAACCACAATTAGCTGGGTGAATAATTCTACATTGGGCTCAGTGAGAACTATATGCAAACCAAAAGATTTATCACTAATACTATGGTTAGTATTACAGCGAGGCTTTAGCACTTTCCATTGCAGTTGGTCGTAAGCTTCTGAACATTTATTGCATTATTACGCACTTTACATACTTCTTAAAAATGTCCAAAATTTACGATCTGTACCCACCGCGAATAGCTTGTTGTGGGCCCCAGCATGTGGTCTTGAACCACGCCGGGGCCACGGAATTAACCCTTGCCCGATTACGCTTGCCTGATACCCGCGATGAAGGAAAAGGCCGGAGAGGACGTGGACACAACTTTTCACTTCAGAGCTCAACCACGTTGGTGCCGTGTGTGGGGTTTGCACGTGTGTATTTATACCTTAGATTTGTGAGTCACACATGCACTAACATCAAGACCTAGGTGTGAGGATACTCCATGATAAATATTTGCGTGAATGTGGGGTGAGTTGAGGATCCGCGCTGCTGGCGACATGCTGTGACAAGGAGAACCCTGTGTGGGAGGTGGAGCGACCGGATTAAGGGGTTTAATTAACACGATTTACAACAAGCTAAACTCTGTTATCAGTTATGTTCGACTATTAACAAACGACATATGCAGTACCGGATATAGGGGCTGCACCATTTTAATGACCTTTTTCTCTTGTTCATCGATTGTGCCAGTTCTGAGTCTCAAGTGAACATGGAAATCGCCTTATTCCGAACTCAGAAACTGAACATTGTAGCTTTTTAAAACGATCAATAAAACCACACAAAGCACGTTAATTGATTTCCTTCGTGGTTCGTTGAATACAACCAAGCAAGGTTGGTGTAGTGATATGATGTCTTAATTTGAATTTTTGTTGCTTGTTAATCCCACTAGACTAATTTACCTCATTTCTATTAAATCGTTGTACACTTTTGTGATAATTGGTGTCAAACTGATTCAGCAGGATTACAAACCCGTGAAAATGGCCTGAAATAAATTCCCTTTTTTTAAATCTGACCAATTCTTGAATTATTAACCCCACACGTGACGGCAAAACGAGTATACTTAAGTTCACGTTTGAAGTGGAACAAGTCGGCATGGATTGCACTTTGTGCAAAATGGAATTTTATGAACTGGAAAGTAAATTTGTTATTTGTCGACCAAATGACTAAGATGATTTATTTTTTTTTTGCTTTATTTTTTCTCCATTTTTCTTTCACGTCGACCCGTATGTTTCCCGTAATTCTGGCTTAGGAAACATTCAAAGTTTTTGCACATTTCTGTGTCCCTCTTTCCTCCTCATGTAAGTTTTTGCCAGCATTATGCCTCCCTTCACCAAGGTAGCAAAGGGGGCTGTGTCCTTGTAGTGAATTACTTTGCGGACGTCGCCATTGTGACAGCTGCTTGTAGGCGATGGAAAACCGCTGCTGGAGGCGTACAACACCTGACGCTCCTGTGTTGACGCAAACCGTCGTAATTTCTGATTACCGCACCCAAATGTCGTCAAGATTAAGCATTTCAATTGCAATTGCTACTTAGCTGACACTGTTCAAATCTCATCACTAAATTTTTACAAGAGTCTTCATGGTCACTTTTTATACACATTGAAGAAGATAAATGAGCCTATTGTCATCATCATTTCCCTTCTCTAGTTTTCCATCTGCTTCATGGACAACCACATCGCCAGCGGTATTTTTGATACTTTGTTTGATAAGCTTTAAGTCGAATTCTTTACGGTCACAATCATTTTGGCAGTAATTCCGCCCACAAATCCACTTAATTAAGTACCTCTTTGAATTGAGCTTCAGTCTCCACCTAAGCTGTTTTGAAGGTGGCATCGACGCATGACGGGTGTGACCCGAGAGTACCAGTTTTGTGTTTGAGCACCAGCGTGGGTGTCGAATCATGTGGCTTGCCGCCAAGTTGTCACCATCTCAGAATGATTGATGCATGCAGAGATGGTGACATTCATTGAGATATCACAACGGGTGTCCAGTTTTGCCAATTTGATTCTACGCCAGAATTTTGTCTGGTTAATCGGCTAAAATTGATTGGGTATATTTTTTTATAGATGAGTACGTCGACCTTCGCTGGTTTATTAAGCCTCAAGAAAGTGTTCTTCCTTGAGATGTTCATCACGGCGTTACTTTACCTCCTCCACTTGCTTCTACTTCTCCTGCCTCTCTTGCTCTGGTACTTCCTTCAAGTGCGCATGAAAAAGACTTTGCAGCTGCCCAGAGGACGCTCTCACCTTCGTCATGCTTGGGTGAGTTAGTCTGCGACGCTGGAGCTAAATTTCGGGTTCTCTGTCATATCACCGGTTCTTTTCCCCTCTGACTAGAATTTTAAAACCTACATATTATTATCACCTGATAAACCGATGGTCAGAGAGGTTTTCATGCTTATTTTTTACCAATACGACACAATGCGTAAAAAAGATGCACAGAGAAAAGGCCTTGCGAAAGTCCACTTGTCCAGTTTTGGCGGTTTCATCTTTATCTTGCATAATAGAAAAACTGATTTTTCTCTTTTACAGACAAAGTATAACATGACTGACTTCCGATCCAGGCTTTTCACGAGCATCCCTATTGTCGATACTGGTAATCCCAGCAAGTCAAGCTTGTTTCAGTTCTTTGTTTTATTGCATTAAACGGAATTTCTCGTATTCCCTTCGTCACTGAATTGCACCTCGGGCCATGTTGCGTGTGCAATAACGATCATTGGCTAAGGCGCACCCACTGTCCACAGATAATGGAGTTGTTCTAGGAATCAATCCCGCAAGGAATTTGCGTGTGCAACGAAGTAACAAGGTTAAGGGGTACTGGAGGCACTCACGCAAAATCGTAATAGCGACCACGGAATGTCCGTGACCCTGATTAAGACGACGACGACGTAGTGGTTCTTTACATCCAAAGTTTTTTTCAGTTTGCATTCCTGTATCGTCCACCGAGGGTCAAGGCATGGTTGAATTGGTTGGTGGCTGCTGGCTCCGCCGCCCCGTTTGGCCACTAATTTTATATTTAGTGTGCCGTATTTTGGAAGCCTAAGCCTGGCTTGGGCCCATTTTGCACAAATAGACACCGACGACAACCAGTGGCGACCCTCCGTGTTCCCGAGCCAGCGACTCACGAGGCGACCCGACTACCGCGGTGTGTCGGCGACTTTCCACAACGCCTGCTTGTCGGAAAACGCGTCAAGCACCAGCAGCACGGATTCCCACGACAATCACCCAATGTCGTGTCAGCGAAGTAAAAAAGAAAGATGCTCAGATCCACCACACAGCATTCGTCTCACCTGTAAGTAACGGTGAGAGAATAAGCCAGCCGCATTTAAAATGTTTATCAGAGAATTGTTCGGATTTATCAAGGTTAGATAAAGGTACTCATAAAATAACTATTGCAAATGATAAATGCATATTGCTGCAAGTATCGCGTGTAAAGTGTTCATGCTAAGTACCACCAGCAAGTGAATGCACGTGTGCTGATGATGATGATAATGATTGTTTATTAAACTGTTTTGACAATTGATAGTGCCAAGGCAGTGCTGACAGAACACACAGCCACACCCAAACGATGGTGTCAACGCCTTTGAGCAAATGGGTGGTCGCGCTGCGAAATACTTTGCTGGTTCGCTATCACCAAAACACCTTTCTTGGCTTCTTCTTCTTCTGCGTCTTTTTCAGCATCAGAGCGGCAAAAACGGCGACGACGCGTTTTTCGCAGATACCAAGGACCGCCCGGTTGTCGAATCGGACCGCTGGAACTGGGCGACACTTGCACTCGCTCTTCGCCAAAAAAGGCGACTACTTTGAAAAATCCAACCCCACACGCCCCGAACAACACGCCCAACAACCAGAGTGCTTAGTGAGGTCGAGACCACCGCCTCTCATGCCATTGCGTCTCCCTGGTGCACATGACGAAATGGCAATGATGTACTCGAGCCGTGTTTGATCAATAAAAACGGGAATAAGGGAAGCCAAAAGTTAATCGGTGTTATAATAAGAACGCAATCTGAGCCAATTAATTACCTCTCGCGAACTCAGCATCCGTGATTCGGGCATATCTCAAAATTAAGTGGATGCGTACATGTCGCAAAAACCCAGTTTATGTTCTCACCTGTTTCAGAATTTTGTGATTCGTCAAGTGCTACGCTAGAACTGCAAAAGGGTTTATTTTAGTGGTCTAAGTAATTGCTATTTATATTTATATAAGTAATCCTGATTTTTTGTCAACTTGCCAATGTCTGTTTGGCGTTCTCCGGATGACCTTGAAGTCAGCGAGACACCTCGATTTTTCACGAAAGCGGTAAATCGGCGCGCGAAAACGTGCAAAAACGGCAGTCTGGTTCACCATGTGAAATAAACTCCACATTACACCAACGTGCGTGCGTGGGTCTCGGTCGAAGTGGCACTTAACGCAACCGAGGTGGAGGTTGCTGAAATTAACGTCATCAATTTTAATTGAAGACTCAGAAAGAGAAAAACACGGCTATTGGCAATACAAGGTGGTCTCGTTGAAACCCGGAATTTGTGCGGATGCCCAATGCAGTGGGATACAACGTGGGGAGCAGTCGGCCGGAGCCTCGTTCGTTCTTCCATGAGACATATTTGTTTGCATTCATGGTAAACATAGGGATTTCGGGATTTGTCGAAATAATGGTCTCGCCTTACTGTCATGTACGAGTGCTGGAACTGTGTCATTGGCGTTGAAATACTTGACTGCGTTGCAACGAGACTTGTGTTGCCTGGCCAGCAAATACCAGACCTGCAGTGCCTTAAATCTACACACAGCACGTAGACAGAACACGTTTTTCATTCTTCCGATGCACAATACCTGCGAGGTTACATCCATAGGTGCGTGCACATGCGTAAACACAAATGCATGTTTACTGAGACAATCCGAGTGACAGTCAATGGTCAGCCCTCACCTGCTGAAAATACACCTTCGATCCGATCACTACGGTTGGCAAGTAAGAGGTGGTGCTAGGGGCTAAGGAGCCTTGAGTTACGTGAATGTCAGGCACATTTGAGAGGCCCAACAAAATTGAATCCTCAAATAATTGCCAAAACCGTTAACTTCTAAAGTCTATTTGGTGCTTTAGAATCATGCCAATTTCGTGGATGGACAGATTTTTGTAATAACAGTCTGCATTTTAAAGCAAAGCTCTTAGTAATGTCAATTGCCGATACTTAAATTATAAAATAACATCCATTCTCGAGGCAGAATTCCAAAATATTCATGAAATAAATTATAATTACTACTTATATTTAGCAAGTAAGTGGTGTATCAACGTTTCGTTTGCAGGAAGCTAAAGTTGCAAGCTCAAAAGCTAATTTTTTTAAATCATGTAAATTTGTGTACTGAAAAGGGCCGAAATGAGGAGTCATGGTTAACGAATAGATACAGAATTCGTGTAAAAGTAAAACTGCACGATAAAAATGTAACCTGATGCAAATTAATTGTTCAAACTTGCCAATCACTTGTTCGTTGCTACTTCGGCGAGTAAACTACGTTTCAGTGTTTGAAACGAGTTATCAGTAAGGTATAATTTTAATTCGCCTGTCCTGATTGACCTCACAGGTCTTCGTAAACCATAATACCACAGATATAAGCTAACCTTAATGCCAGTTTCACCAACGTGCGCGGAATCGCCTATGACCCCAGTAGGTCTCGTTCACGAACCGTGAACCTCGGCACCTCCGTTTGTTTGCATTCACGAAGAGTGCACGAGGGCTAAACTGGTTGCATTTGTGACTAGCAGCGCTGCACGACACACGCAAGCATTTTACACAAATCACCAGTCGCGTTTGGACTGCGTCCGGTGAGTCGCAGGGGGGCGAGGCGAGGAGCTCCCCATTTGATAGCAGCCACTTGGGCAACCGCAGCTACAACCCGCTTCTTGCCTGTGTAAATCGTCACTCCTAATCCGGTAGATGCAATCTTGAGGGAGAAAAAAGTGGCAGCAGTAGGTGCGGTTGGATCTTCAAGTCACAATTAACTCATTTGGGTTCTGTGTTCCCAATGCCACCCTCGATAGGTGGCTAGATGCTTTCGGAGGCTTTATGCTTATTTCTTGCCTTTACAAGTTTCCTAATTTTTTTATCGCCTTTCATAATTTCCACCATGATTTGTCACCCTGTGTTTCACATTTCATGCCCACTTTGGCCTTCCGAATTCAACGTAGATGTTCCAGCTAGAAAGGCAGAAGGTCGAAAAGGCGGTTATTGTTGGCCCTTCCACTGCAGCTCACAGCGTCTAGTCATTTCTAGCCACATAGAGGTTGTAAATAGCAGAGGCAGCTGATTTTTCATTCCATCCCCAGCACCCGAGAGCTTGAAATCGTGAATCTCACCGTCGCCCCTTTTTATGTCAGATAAAAACATTGTTTGAGGCTTCCTGACTGTTTGTTCTTAAACTTAAGACGAACCACATCTTCACAATGATGAGATGCTGTCAATTTCGTCCAACTATTATTCCAGCTCCAAAGGTACAGTTGTAACGCGCCTTCCGAGCGGGGACCTAAATAGGGAGATGACTGTTAGCCCGTCCCTCTAAGATAGCCACACTATCATCGTTAGCTACCAGGCACACGATGGAAGAATAGCCGGAAGAACCGTATGTATTCCATACTACCGCATACAAACTCTGAGGGCTAGAGCTTAGGGAGAGTTAGAGTGGGGAAGTGGATGGCCGCGAGGAGGGTCGCTGTTGCCCTCGAAATGACGGGCGTGCCTTGAGGAAGGCGAGAGTGTGGGAAGGGAGAGGAGGACAAAGAACATGCCAGACCGGCGTGCGTGGGTCGAATGGCGCGCGTCACAGATGATAATTAAAGAGAGCACATTTCCCGTTGGGCCCCACTTCAAGTTGCATTTTTTTGAGCATTTTAATTTGATATCAGTAGCGTCTTACATTTAACATTTAGGAAGAATCAAAAAAAGAATTTTGAAAGCCTCCCAGCCTATCACCACTTTTTACGGGGAGGAGGTGACATAAAACGACTGAAATCTGTCCATCGTTCAAGGATCGTGACCCATCCGACAGCACCCATTCATCGAGGTGAAAACAAAATCGACCTTCAGGCATTCGGTTCATTTTTTGTGTGCAAAAAGTCGATCCACCGACCTCCGAGCCAGGTGCGATCCCTCTAAGACCCGTCAGACCTTCATTGTCCACCGACTGCTAAACGGCCGTGACGCAACTCCCGGTTTGATTAAATCGCTCTGTTTATTTAGATTAGGATTTCGAATTGACATTGTTTATTCACCAACTGGGAAACTCCATGACGAGTGTTTATGTGGCATTAAATGAAAAACAATGGTGACGTGCGTATTAGAGTCCACACAATACTTGGAGCTGTCTTCAAACAACCAAACAAAGTTAAGAGCAGTCCACTCACGCCCAGAAATGACCAATCACGAGTCGCTCTGGGGACTCGGCAAGAGAGGGCGTCGTTCCCTGCAGATAAAGTCAGCCGAGACCGGGTGATACATCACCTCAAGGCCTCTGCTGAAAGAGCTAGTCTTCATTTCGTCGATAGAAAGGTAATTCTTTTTTAATTTATTGACCATTGCATTAGTTCTGTATAAATACTTCAAATGACATGGACAATTTCTATCCGAAGGGTCCCCATTAGGTCGTTTGAGGCTGGTTGAAAAAGCCAGAGAAATCGGAACGTGTGAAAATGACGGAACCTACGGTCTAGCACCTGCGCTTTTGGAAGTGCGAGTGGGTTAGTCGTGGCCAGGCGGCCAAAGTGGAAGGCGAACGGGCCTGCCACTAGATTGTGCCACGAAGTTTTTAGCAAAAAAGAACCTTTCTACTAGCTTGATGGCTGAAAATTCCATCAAAGGCGGACTGCTTTTGGGAAGCAGGGAACCAGACGGTTTTGCTCTGGAAAGATATCGCCATTTAGCCTCTAATTTGGAATGCCAGGTAATGAGAGAGAAGTTTTGATCGTGCGTGGCAGTTTTTGGTCTTCAGGTTGTGAAATTTGACGTCAGGTATTTAAGTTAACGAAGGCTGTGACGTGTTCATGCTGGAGGAACAACGTCTTCGTGGCATACCTTCCTTCGTTATGTTCTTAAGGTAAAGCGAAAGCCGGATTTGGGTGGTTTTTGTGGTGAGTGGTGTGCAACGATGTTTAAAGTACAGGAATCAATGAGTTTAGCTCAAAGCCTCGTGATTTGAGCTGAACTCAGCTAATTGAACGATTGAGAAACTCACTAGCTGCTAGAGCTCCTCCTCTGATAGAACGCCTACCGCCAACAGTGTTCTTGGGATAGACACTTTAAGGTGATTGTGGCTGCCTTGGCAACGGATTGGCTGGCCAATTTTGCGCATAAGTGCTTTACCAGGTCACTGAATGATATCGCTGCAGCAGTAGCGTCTGTGGTGCTGCATAACCTGGCGGAGGATGTGTGTTCTTAATTAATAAGGCATACCCCGTAAATTAAGTTAACTATGATTAGTTGACGCTTGCTGAGAATAAGGATCAAGTCACCATTTATTGGAAGTGAAACGACGGCTAGCAAAATGCGTATTCAGCAAAAATCAACCAAAATAAATTTATATCCTCTGTGTTACACTAATAACAAAATGTGCTTTTACAAAACTTTGGTAAATCCTAAAAGCCCTCATGAAAAATCCGATTGGTGGATAATTGCAAGGAAACTCATTTTTCCACAGTAGGCAATGTTAGGCTTAAAAATTAGCTTCCTTAATGTGAGATTCGCCTTTTACAAACGTAGACAAGTGTTTGTACTGAAACATTCCAGCCCAAGGATTTAGCTTATTGAATGACTTCTTGAATGGTCGTGTCTTAGCGTATTAGGCGCATAGCGTTTTATTAAAACGCTCTTTTTCATTTCGGTTTCATGAGAATACTTGAATCAGATTCCAAATTAGGCTTCGGTGCTCATGAAGAAGATGAAGGAAATAAGCGTGGTGCGTCCTAATTAACAGTTGATAACCCTCAATAATCCATTATCGGAATTTAAAATGCTAAAACGCCTGTGCCATTTAAAATAGTCCAGCGTCATAACTACAGGCCCGAGAGCGAGTCCCTGTTTTTAAAAGCCCTGCTTCTGTCGTAAAAGGAATTGAATTATGTCTGCAAAGCATCGGACTGTATTAGAAGGGAATAGGCAATGACATGCACCATCGGCCACTTTTTTGAAGAAGCAAGGCCAAGAGATATCCGCTAGATCTGTTAGATATTAAGTGCGTGGAATGCCCTGAAATTCGGAGTGATAGATTACTCAGGAAGAGATACCAAGCAGACAGTGTGGAAGTAAAGCACTAAAGAATTATCCTTACAAATAACTAGTCTAATTTTAAAGTGTTGCTTTAAACTGTAATTTTAGCCTCTTAGCCTTTAGAAACAGCTCTCATTCAAGCTCATAGTTAAAGAGCGCGAAAGCGGCAAACGAAAAAGCCCGGCTTTCGGATTACACTTTCCCTTCTCCAGTGACTGTGAGTAACAGTGCCTAAAAAAAGTGCATGTCAGGCATTAAACAAGCTTGGGGAAGGGTGATTTAGTGCGGGGGCGTATGAATGGGCAATTAAGGAAGTATCAACATTAGTAGTAGTAGTAGTAGCAGCAGTAGTAGCAGTAGTAGCAGCAGCAGCAGTAGTAGTAGCAGTAGTAGCAATAGTAGCAGTAGTAGTAGTATTAGTAGTAGCAGTAATAGTAGTAGCACCAGTAGCAGTAGTAGTAGTAGTAGTAGTACCACAGGATATTGAGGTGTAAAAACAATTTACCCTCTGCGCTGCAGACCACGGCGAGTTTGTCAAACAGACACACAAAGCACACCAATCTACGGCGGCTCTTCTAAGCTTGTGATGCTGGCGCAGGGAGCCAATCCGCGCGCTGCGTGCACTGGCTCCTGGCACCACGCACGCGCCAGCCCTGCCTCCGCCGTGGAGACCCTCGCAGCGCACGCTCGGTCTGTTTTGCCGGAACTCCTGAGCTAACAAAGCGAGCAAAAAACAACCGCCTACAAAGGGAACCAGAAAGCAGTTGATGGATTTTGCAAGACGATTACCGTGCATTTGTGACACAAAGAGGACCTATTTGGTGGATTCAAGCACAAGTTTTTTTTTCATGCTTCGATTACGTGCTTTTGTTCAGGAAACAAAAAAGAAGGAGAAGGTTCGTCTGGACCTGATTTTCGTCCTCTACTTGTCAGCATACGGAAACTCTGCATCAATTTCAATCACTTTTGCTCTTTTTGGGGTCTGTTGGTTTGGCGGTTGCAGCTGATGCATTTTTAAAACCAGGGCATGAAATTTAATCAAATGTGGTGGTGCAGAACTAAGAAATAGGGAGTCACCAGCAACACTTCATTGTTAGGACGTCTACACCATAATTTTATTTTATTTATAGGTTTAACTAGTACTTCACTTCATTTTCACCGTAGAAAAATGCTGATCCACTTCTTCCTTGAAATTGCACTTGATAATTTGGGCCAGCCTTCAAGCAGTAATCGTTGTCATGATCTAAGCGAGTACCAGATGTATTTGAAGTTAGGGAAGGTGGGTTTGAGCTCATCTTTGTGGTTAAAGTGTCCTTTGCCGTGTTTGTCTGTCTCCTAGAATCATTTTGTTTGTTTGTGCGTGTAATAAAAATGTAACTTGGTTTTGTAATTCATTCAGTTGGCGAGCATAACGTAGAATGATGCCCACCCATTCGATCAGTATTTTCTCACATTATTCTGAGAGGTAGTGATGTGAGAAAATGGGGAAAAAATGTAGTGATAGACAGGTCCCCACCTAAGTTCAGATCCTCAGCACGCAAATTCCTATCTCGACGCCTGAATAAATAATGTTTCCTTTGTAATGAATCGTGTTTATTCACACCCCTTGATCAACAACATCACATTCAGTTAGCCTGTTCGTAAGGCGTGACCTAAGCGCTTTGGACGATGTGTCACTGAAGAAAGTTCCAGTCTCTGCATCAATGTTTCTGCACCGACTGTGCTTCACCCGCTCTTCGTTTAGTGTTAATTAGCCCTGTGTAATGCCTCGACGAGGAGAAATGGCAGTTTTAAACTAATTACTTTGTTGTGAATCGTGCTTATTCACACCCCGTAATCCGGTCGCTCCACTTCCGACACAGGGTTCCCCTTTTCGCAGAGTGTCGCCAGCAGCAGGGATCATCAACTCCCTCTTCATTCACACGAATATTTGTCATAGATTATCCCCACACCCAGGTCTCGATGTTAGCGCATGTATGACTCACGTATTCGAGGTATAAATACGCACGCGCAAACCCCACACACGACACAACGACACGAACGTGCTTGAGCTCTGAAGTAAACGCTTGTGTCCACGTCCTCTCCGCTCTTTTTCTTCATCGCGGGTATCAGGATAGCGTAATCGGGCCAGGGTCAATTCCGTGGCCCCGGCGAGGTTTACAACCACATGCTGGGGCCCAAAACAACCTTTTCCCCAACCGTTTGCTTTTGGGCTTCACTGACTTCTAACACGAATGCGCATTCGACTCTGCACTTTCCGTGGCCTTCTTAATTTGAACGTCCACATTAAAGCAACGTCACCGGCTATCATCGGTTCTTCTAACTTCGCACAAGTTACTCCACCTTCAACCATTTTTTGTTTATTTCTGATTTTAACACCTCGTCCTGCTTCTCAATCTCATTTGAATCTCCTAGCTCTGCGCCACCCTTGGCTCATCTACACTTCCTGCATTTGCTCAAAGTCGCAGCTCACTGTTGATGTTCGCTATGTTTTCAACTTCCATGCTATTCCTCCAAATTCCATGCGACGTCCCATGGTTTCGACTGGCAATAGGGGCCTGCGCCTGTTATACGCAAAATCAACGATTCGCGGTTAAAGTGGTCGTTGCCAAGCTAATTCTTCGAGCATGGTGGAGTCATCGCTGGCCCTATCACCAATACACGAATTCTGGTTTGGTGGAATATATTTGCCAGATGCGATGCGTGTGTGAGGAATTGTGTGGGTCAACATGGAGTTACGCAAGAGCACAAAGTCTGTAGTGAATCGTGTTAATTCACGTCCAACAATCCGGTAGTCGCAGCATCACACACACGTCCCCTTTTCACGGCGTGCCCGTCAGCCATTGAGACAGCCTGCTCACTCACCCCTCTGTACGTGCCACCACCACCACCACCACCACCCGCTCTATCCATTTGACCATCCTGACGTCAATATTGTTACTCGTCCACTCAACTGCATCAGTCAACACAACACAACTGCGCTAAGGTGTATGGTAAACGGATGTGCCTCGTCCTCTCCGGTCTTCATCTTAGGGGGCACTCAGGGTAACTTAATCAGGACCACATGTCGGGGACTAAAACAAATCTTTATCGTTTTCTCGTTCAATTTTCCACTCCATGTCTCTCTTGTGGGGCGGGGCAGAAAAATCGGTGCCAGCAGCACCAGCAGTCACAGTGTCACACCGCGGCTCCCCTGCAATTGGTCCAGTGGTCCTCAGATCGAACCACTTGACGGCTTCTCCCCTCTACCTGGGGTAATGCTGCAGTCAGCCCGTGGTGCTCACGTCCCAAGCAGGATGGTAATTCATCAAACACAGCCGGGTTATTAGAAATCTGGGTTGCGGCAGCAATTATTTTGTGTGGCGCCGATTTATAAACTACCAAAAGGAGCCAACAAGTCACGATTGGGTCTTTTCGATTGTGGAAATTGTATTAAAATTTAAAATATTGCAAACACCGGGTCTTTTTGCAACAATTTACATTAGCCATGTCAGGTGTTGTGTACCACAAAAGGACCTCCGTTAATCAAATAAGGGTTTATGAAGAATTTCGATGCACTAAAGGACTTCGGTGTCGTTACGTTTGGTGCATTTATGTTACCACATCCTCGCTCACCTCTGTTTGATGTCACTACACACTGCAAATCATGGGCCACAATTTCGAGAAGCATGCACTTCTGGGCTTTTTTCTAACCAACCCTGACCTGATTTGCGCCCTCTTGTTTTTTAATTTACGACTTACCCCTTCCTCATTTACCCGCAAAAGCTCTTGCTCTCGTTTCCTAATGATCATAAACCAGCACTCAATGCAAACATTAAATGCATTGTTATCACATGCCTAGCACATAAATAACTAATTAGCGTGCGAAAGGACTTTGGTTTTGGGATTAAATTAGCACCCTCTATTGTGTTTGGGTAACCCAAAAATTCAACACCCCTAACCATGGGCAAGTTTGACCCCCCGAAAAAATGTTTTGCAGAGACCGATGAAAGCAGCCAATCTCTTAGCGTTTGCAAAATATTTTCCTTATGTTGATTTCTTATTAAACCGGGTAGCCACTAGGGTACTATGTCCATACGCATGGCATGATGTACTCTAAGCCGCGTCAATTCCAACGTCAGCACTTTTGCAGTAGGGTGGGCTTAGGAGCGTCGCATGCACCTTCAGTGCTTTTGGCTTAGCAGCTGAACCAATCACAGGGCTGCTTGATCAATTAAGGCGTCCAATGGGAGGCAAGTTACCAAAATTGGCTCTCGCTAATTGGCTAAACGTCTTTCGCCAGTGATGGGCCTGAGTTTGATGCTATTTAAATTCAGTCTTGCTTTTCGCTACAATTTATGTTAGCTCTGGTAGTCCCACCTCTTTTGACGGACATTTGGGCTTGAGTAACCGTGCCACTTTCCCCTGACAAACATCGAAAATAGGTCCCAAAACGATGAATGTGAGTGGGATCATAAGTTGTCTTGCACAAATCTTTTTACGCAACCCAAGTGCAAAGTAACCTCAGGTATTCTAATTATAAGCTGACTGTCAACTTTGAGTCAAACCAGTCGTTCTCGCGATTACACAAGATTGGCTAGGCTTCGGGCTATTTTGCGAAATTACACTGGGGCTTTTTTTTGTTTTTCAACCTCTAGCCAATAGCTGGAGCGCACCTATTAAATCCCGTCAGGGTATGCTCCGATTAATTGTTGTCTATTATTTGGACAGAAAGGGCTTCGATTCTTGAGTCCATGTAGTCTCAATCGACTATGGAAGCAATGGTAGCCTTACAAACATGACCAGTTTCAACTCGCCCCCCCCTCAACTGATAAAAAGTTCGTAGACGTTGAAAAAGTAAGACTCCAAGTCAACCTTCCCTCTCTTCTACTCTGTTGACGCATAATACACAAAAAATGTTAATTAAGCTAGAGGTGCAAGCATCGTAACTACTTGAACCAGCACCATCTTTGTATTTAACTTTTCTATGTACTTTAAGCACACAAAACAGGACCTATTAGACAAAGTAACGGTCACCATGGTATGTATCGAAAAGGAAGCTTGTCCTAAATAAAGTAATTAATGTTGTTTTACTGTAGCTCTTGCCGAGGCATCTTTTGCATAGGTGGTAGCGTTTTAAAAGAATCTCAAATCTTGCCCTTAGGTTTGCAAATTATTCTCCTCCGGATTTCGACTTTACAAAATTAATTTCTAATTACCAAAGTTCAGTATAAGTTAAACTAAAAGAGCTAATTCAGAGAGAGATCAAGAACCTCCTTACGCGACTGGCTTTGGCCTCCAGAAGTTGTTTACTGTAAATGCACAGTTGTCTTTACAATAATTTTTCTCCGAATCTCAAGAATTCAAGGACTGGCAGGTCGTTATCAGGTGACTGACGTTTGTCCCTCCCGCCCTGAGGACCAACGCTAGTATACCACTGGCGAAAGATTCTCTTCCCTTTCTCCATCTTGTCATTCACCATGCTTCATGACTTAAATCCCGAGGTTTACCTCCAAGTACGACCATTTCGGCTTCTTTGTAGGATTATGGAAATAATCCATGATTACGCATTTGCCATCTGTCTAGATTATCTTCACCTTTTTTGGTGTATTTCGAAAAAAACTCGTCCAAAGCTTAAGTGGAGTTTAACGAGAGAATACTTAGCGTAACTTATACATGTGAAGAAGTTTTCGCCGAATTATCGATATATGGTTTTGAACGCATAGTATTTGTGTTATGGGACTTTGATTTTTTTTAAATGAACAAATTATGGTGAAAATGACTGCATTTGTTTTTAAAATATGCTGCATTTTAGTGGAAGGGGAAGGATTAACATCCGAGTGGCCAGGAGGCCTTAAGTCGGGAAAACGCTCTTGGCTGATCTTGGGGAAACTGTATGCGGTCATCTTCTTTACGCAGAACCTTATATGAAGAACTGTATCGATTCGTCAGTGCTTTACTATTAAGCAAAGCGTCACCGCATACCGTCCATATGATAGCTTGAATGTCGGGAATCACTCGGTTTTATTAAAATTAGCCTCAAACAACTGATTTATGCAGTTCTCTAAAATCTCTCAAATGCGACTCCGTTTGCAGACACAAACCTATCATAATCCTTTGACTCCCCGCCAAGAGATCGCCCTCCCGACTGAAATCCGATGCTTCGACTAGACATCCCGTTGAACTTGCCGATGGATCGATGCTCGATTTCCTTACCTCGTTCTGTTTATTTGCTTGTTAATGCATGCAGTTCAAACATTTCTCAGATCAGTTTAATTTGGAGTTCATACTTCTCAATACTTCATCCGTTTACCAGCATCAATGGCCCGGTTAATTCTTTCACGATTATTCAAAGACATAAGTGGAGGCTTTAAACACACAAGAGGAATTTTCCTTTTAGGCAGTTTAAACAATTAACGTTGAAATAAAAGAATCTTTTCCTAATCACATAGACTCTGATTCCGGATTCGTTTTACTTGGTGCTTCATCGCCCTCTTATTGTAATTTGCTTTAATTATTGCAGAATTATGACGTCACTCTCGGCGCTTCCGCTTAACCTGCGTTGCCATGACTATATATTCAGTGATTCTGTGTGATTTTAAATATGTTGCGAGCACGACCGTCACACATGTCTATTCTGACTTTCTCTCTGGTACTGAAATGTGTAATTCGCTGGGCTAGATGTCGCCTACCTAATGTAAATCAACCCTTAATCAATACCGAAATCTCCTATTTTTATAGGCAACAATTAAGGCAGCATTAACTAAGGCCATATGGTTATAATGGAAGAAATATAAGGGAAAAGCTAACATTAGGATAAATGTGATCGCTGATTGGGCTTTGGTACGTCGTCTTTTGTAAGTTTTTTTGTAGGTGGCTTCTGAATGAAATGTTCGAATGTCGTGCAACCAAAGTAAGCTTATACGCACAGGCTAGTCCCTTAAATGTCTGCTGTGCTATTGAGTACAGTATTGCTCCCTTGTGGCACACAATGCAACTCTGCTGACAAGTTTGTGAGGCAAACCGAAATTGGAGCACAGGAGTGACATTATTCCGCTTTTGAAATCAAATTCAAATGTTTGAAAAAGTCATAGCTCTGAGAATGGCCGAATTTGTCTAATCCCTCAAATACTGCAGACCAGTCGAAATTGAAATTCGCAGAAACCAATAAATCAATATTAGAAGCTGATTAGCTACGTCGAATATGCGGTCATCTGAGTTGGCAGTATGTAAAAGTGAATGAGACTGTGTGCATCGTTGGCATCTGTTTGGTAAGACGAGTTTGGTTTTGCTATGGCCACAGAAACATCGCTAATTTCTCCCAGAGATGATCATTAGATTATCCTCCGCCAATCCCCACACTTACTCTCCTGACCAAGATTAGAACTGATCTGTCAAACATCTTGGCATTTTAGTTCAACATTTTTGTATTCCAGGTGAGCATGTGAACAGAACGGATTTCATCTCCTATAATTTTTCGTACAAGGACAGTGCTATGAGTCATTCTGCCTTCCAAGGTAGTCAATGTGAGTTTTGGTGAATCGGATACTAAACAGAGCCAAATCAAGTAATTTGACATCGCATCATCTGGCTTTCGGGTTGTAACTTTTAAGTCACGCGAGAGTGATTTGACTAGTCATGCCAGCCGACGGAGCGAAAAACGTGCCATTCTACCTGTTTCAAGTGAGCAAATTTAGGCAAAATTCAGCAGTTGAGTAAGACATTCGAATTTACACAAAATGATAATTTTACAACTAGTCTGTTAATGTCGAAACTTTACGTGACAAATAAACAGCGTCCTCAATATTGTAGCACGCAATTTTTGTGTGATTTTACTGGCTTCTTAAGGAATCGAAGGTATCAAAAATCTGACCTTTTATTAGGCGACCTCAACCTTGCGATCCATGGACCGGCTTTGTATCCTGTGCACATTGTGCGTCTCTTTTTCTAACGCCTGAATGCTTAACCCAAAAGGTTACTTTTGATTATGTGGCTGACTCTAAATTGACCTAAGCTTAATAATGGCTTCACCTCTAATAAAACCAAGCGATTTGTTAATGTAAATGACTAAAACCAATACAATTTCTGCTCACAAATATGGTTAACACCCCATGGGAGTCAGGGTCGCCTTTGAATGGTAGAAATTCATGGTGCATACGCCCAAACTACATCTAATATTGAATTACCTCCCGTACCCCATGTTCCAACTTTTAAGTATGCGTTGATTGAACACGACTTTGCAAACGCCTGTCCCAATAAAAAACCTCCTGGCTTCTTATTCAATTGAACAATTTCTCACCAAAAAGGATCGGTGTCGTGATTCCGACATAGGAAATACGGCCCCAGCGCGCGAATCGAGGCGACGCTTAAAAATTCTAAAAGTAGTAAGACTTTTGTCCCCACACCTTAAGGAATCCACGTTTTCAATGATACTGCAATGCCTAATGAGTTTCAACGTGGCCATGATGCAGTGATCCACCTGATTTAATAAAAAAACCACGCCACCCCATGTACAACAAAATTGTATACAAAACGGTAGTGCACAACTGTCAACGAAAGTGTAACTGGCAGCAGGATCTGCTGTTATGCTAAATATACATCATAGATATGCCAAATTTTGAAAAAAATTCGTGAATTTAAACTTAAGTTACACTTTTGAGCATAAACTGTGAAGTAAGTAGCTGGAAAATCGGTTCCTTTCAATGAGAAATTACAAATGACCCGGGGCTGGTTTCGGGGATGGAAGATTGAACTAGCTAAAAATTACTGCCAAAATTTACGCTCGTTTCTGTAAAAAAATGCCAAGATGGGCAGGTGAGTCCCCTCAGTCTTTTAACTACCCAAAACGAAATGCGATTGCGTGTCCGTACTCGAGCATGAAGCCCTTTGTACACCTCCCAGACGAGTGTCAGCAGGCTGAGAGGACAGTGACGGCGGTTCCGCCTTCCACTTGGCCCCCTCCCAGGCTGTGGATAAAAGGCACTCTGCAGGAACCTCCGATGGCGCTACAATGGATTGCGAGTTCGCTCTGAGGAAACTCAATAGGAGCAAAATAACACTCATTAAGTAGACTCGTGTAATGGTGGCTACAGTGTGTGCACGATTTTCCGTGAGCGCTGCCTTACGATAGGAAACCAATCCGGCAAACAAGGGCCCAGGTTGTTGTGCTTTTCAAAAAGCCTTTACTTTAATACACAGAGGTGGGCTGCGCCGAAGTATGGAGGGTGGGCTGTAAATCGGCTTAGACATAACTGTGCAGTGAGAGAGAGAGAGAGAGAGAGAGTAGGGGTGATAGAAATGCAACGCGAGAAAGATCACACGCGAGTGTCTGTAAAAATACACAAGTAGTGAGAGTGGACAGGGAGAGGGAGGTGAGATTGACACCTCACACATGTCTCGCTCGCAATGCCGAACGCGTTGTGGGAGGCTGCAGGGTGTTTGACGATGTGGACGCCTGGGAGTCGGTGGAGGAGAGAGGTTGATCTTGTGCCTCAAGGGTTCGTACGATTCGCAAAATCGACTCCGAGCCAGCTGTCTCCACGCCCCTTGCAAGGGAGAGGAACGAGAGCAATTTGGCCAACATTATGGCCAGCGGACGGAACTTGCCTGGCTCTGGAAGGCGAGCGCGAATCCGCTCGGCGTAGCGCGGACTCGATTGCAAGATGCAACCCAAGAGGAGGGCTAAATGGAGGAGACGCTCTTATTCGTGGAAGTACAACAGTAAACATACAAGCAATAGTGGACGATGAGTTGTACCCCTGGAAGTTAACATTCATAAATGCGACAGGCCATGCCACTAGACCACTTTAAGGAAGGCAGTTAGCACCAAAGTAAGGGGCTCACAGGCATATGCAGCGACCACGGAGTCCTCCATGTGTTGATTAGCCGAAGACATGCGCTCCTTGAGTTTCTCCTGTTCTTCCTGAGTCTCCGTGACGAATTCGACGTCAGCCCCACCGCAAAGTTCGTCATCCTCATCATACTCATCCTCTTCGTCACTCCCTGTGGGTGAAATTTACAAAAGCATACTTTAATCCCGACACGTTTTCCCCGGGAGCTGAAGAGTTGGGTGCTATTGGGAGGACAACCCCTGTCATTCTACACAACTATTCAGTCTCCGAAGAACAATATGCCGTGGTGCTAGGAAATTGACGTGATGTGTCGCACGAGAATCGTGCAGAACAGGGTGGGAACCGATGCTTTGCAATTCGACACGTAGCGATTTCCTGATATGCATATTAGCCCAAATCGACGGTGCTGTTTGCCTGATTTGTCTTCGAGTAAACTTGCTGTCGAGTATACAGTACCAATTGATCTTCATCGTTTACGGAACATACATATACTTTTATAACGATGACATGGTAGTTCAAGTTATGATTGGTGTTCCAGTCAAGCAATAAAGCCTTAGTTGAAGTAAACCAAGCGCCGCATGCATCTACTTGCAGTTCAGCCTGCCAATTTACCGAGACCCAACGCTCTTGGAAGACGACAACGAAGGAATAACTACTCACCATCGCTCTCGTCCTCATCACTGCACAGTTCGTCATCGTCTTCTTCTTCCTCGTCTTCATCGTCATCCTCCTCCACCTCATCATCAGAGCTCGCAGCCTTGTCGAAATTCGTCTTCTTGTTGGCACCACGGCTTAGCAAGGCCTGCCGACGTCTGCGTCGTTTTGCGCGCAGTCTTGAACGCTTCGAAGATTCTGAAAGAGAAGCGAGAGAGGCGGGTGGAGTCAGTGTGATTGTTTTTTCAGTAATATCAATTGCAAAGTCAGTTAACACTATATAATCATAAGATAATTAAGACCCGACAACTAAGACAGTAATTAAAAAAGCCGACCGAGAAGCATTAATAACAGGGCGAGTTACGAGAGGCCATAGAGGAAAGAAGTATTACGCGACATTTGCCGATTAGTAAAGAGAGTTAGTATTACAAGTCCGACGTTGTATGACAACCACCAAGAAGGGAACGAAAAGGGATTGGAGACTTTATTGAAGGGCTGCGAGGAATCGCTGTAACTAGGTCTTTGTAAATATTTTGCCCAAGACTATGGGAAAATTTAAAAACACGATTGAGGAGACTACTTTGAGGCAGATTTTTGGGATCCCGAACTAAGAAAACAGACCAGCTAATTTCACCGTTTCTTTTAGGTTCCAAAATCGCAATCGCTTACTTGAACGGGAGCCGCCGGCCAAGGGGTTGCCACCACCGTGTCTGTTTCCTCCAACCAGACGCCACTTGAGCCCGGCCTCTTCGATTGTCTCCCCCATAGCACCATCGTCGGTTAGCAACGAAGGAGGTGGCTTCGGCCGCTGGAGAGTCGACGTAGCTGTGGTCGTTGTCGAATCAGCCTCCTCAGCCTTCTCGCTCTTCCTCTCCGACCTCTCCCCTTCTTCGTCGTCGCGTTCGAACTCATGCATTAGGGTCTTCTTCTCGCGGTAGAGGAAGAGCTTCACGACCTCGTCAAGGGCAGAAACGGTGGGGATGGTCGGAGTGGTCGAAGGACGAGGAGAGCCGTCCGCTGCGCCCTCTCCCTCGTCATCCTCATAACCAACATTGTCGAGTTTTGCTCCATGGTTTACACCGGCGACGCTTTCGGAACTCCGCACCTCCAAGTGCACGATGCGGATGCGGTTTTCCGGGCAGTGCTCACAGAGGTTAGCCAAGAGACAAAGAATGAGGATTAGGAGGTCGAAACGACGAGATGATGGTAGACGGTCGGGAAGGTGAAAGAGACAGTCGAGAGTGGCCTCCAGAAGACCTGGACAACCGCCCAGACGGTCACTAGCGTATTCTAAAAAAGGGTATTTCATTTAAGGCAAAAAAATTAACCTCGTAAAAAATTGGATGTTTCTCAAAGAGGGGGTCTTGGAAAAGGCGGTAGACAACAATGGGGGCTAAAATATAGTGGCCGAATAAATTTGGAAGACTATTCAACGAGAGAAAATAGTTGGTGTAGAATGCGAGCGTTATGAATTGAGAACAAGGTGACAGGGGGAGAGTAATGCTGGAGAGTGAAAGAAGGACTCGGGCCACTTACCACTGTGTGAAACGTTAACAAACAAGCGAAAGATGGATAACAGACAGGTGAGTAGTGTCTGCTGATCTTGCTGGTATTCATCAGTCGGTGGCGACGCTGATGCTGCTGACGTCTTGTTGAACTCCTCGCCTTCGGTGGAGGATGTGGGGGGCTGCTGCTGCTCCCTTTCGTCCTCACCACTACTCCGGACTTGGGCTGCCTTCTCCTCTGACTCCTTGCGCAACAGCTCCACCCAGGCAACAGAGGGGGGAGGGTGACGTGGAAGTCGGGAGGCGCAGAGGTGGATGCACTGCACCAAACGGTCGATTAGGGCGCGCTCCTTGTACCGCACCAGATGCGTCTGATTGTCAGAGTTCATGTAAGTCATCTAAAGTCAAGGAATTTGTGCATTTTATGACACTAGCTGAAAAGCAAGGCCTGTGTGTACAACAAAAAGATGATTTTTTACGCTGCTCCTAGATTAGCTGAGTAGGCAAAACTACATGGGTGGTTTTCAGGCAGACATAATTGTTCTGGAAATGACTGTCGCCAACAGGGGTATACAAACGAGAGTAGTAGAGCGTTATTGAGAATCAGTCTACAGCTGCACACATATTTGCAGGAATTCTGGCATTAATGGCAGTGTCAAAGCTTACGTTCTCGAGCATCTTAGCGTAATATCCAACTCGCTTCAGGTTATCCAACGAAAAATCATCCAAACCGGTAGGGTTGTGGGTAGCAGGTGTGGGCAAAAAGCGGCACTTTCCCGGGTCGTCCGCAGTGCAGAGGTCCTTCAAGTAGTCCACTGCGTCAATGGTGGCCTCTGCGACTCCGTCCAGGCCACCGCCTGTTCGGATGCCCGATTTGAACCAAGGCGCGGCTTTTCGAGTGGACAAGTTCAAGACTGCCTCGAGGACCAGATCACGTGCCTAAAATATAGCATTAGTGATGCGAGAGGATTGTTGATGACATGCCAACTTGTCATTTAGTTCTACGATTAAATGGATTCGGCGGTTGATGTGCTTTCGAGCACATACTTGTGTGGAATCCAAAAACAAGGAAAACCTCAACACGGTTTGCGAAAAATTGAATCATATTGACCTACATGAAATTTTCCGTTAACTGACTTCTGACTCAGTAGTATAATCTTCGAAATTAGCTGTAGGGAGCATTCGGGTAAAACGCCAGGTGCCTTTGAGCAACAATAACCAAATATTTAATGTATAAATAAAACAGGGCTACCGATAAAGAAAAGGTCTATCAAAGGGACGTAAGAAAAATTGACAGAAGTAGACACCACTGGACATACTTTAGGGTTTTATGAACTACCACTGGGAGTAAATGGGAATCCCGCTTAGCAATTTGTCGGATACCCGATTGCTTTCTGCATATCGCTGAAGCAATTGGAACTGGCCGAAAATCATTTCTAAACAAAGCAAGCCCTAGCTAGGTACTTTCAGCCACAACATGCTTTTGCATTATAACCGCTCCATCATAGTCACCGCGGTAGAGTTAAAATAATTCCGCATACCACAAAGTGTATGCTAGACTGAAATAACTAACGGTCAGTTGCCGGTTCATGCGCAAGTGCCTGGCATTCAGCAGCTTTTGGCCCGACGCGCCGGAGAACAGCGACGCTACACCGGGGTTTTTCCGAACAAAGAGAGCAGCCATTCCGGCAGCAGCAGCAGCTGGCTGAGGCGACTTCACCGGGGTCTCCTGCTGCTTCTGGCTGCGCTTCTGCTGCTGTGCGGCCACGGCCTCGAGGAGCTGCTGCACCCGCGTGCGAATCTGACTGGCCTCCTTGTTGAGACGCGTCTGTCGCGAGGCCGCGCCAATCGTGTACTTGGAGGAGCCTGTCGACGTGGCGGAATCAACACTCGCGTTCTCCATTATGGCTGAAAAAAGGAGGAATGGGTTGGTTTGAGTGAAAGCGATCCCGAGTTTTGAAAATACATGCATAGGTGAAATGGGTATTTATAAATAGCTTTGGAGGGAGGAAGCAAGTTTCGCACGGCGACTCAAAGCACACCCCAAGACCAGATATCAGTCCCAGGAACTGGAGTGTGGGTACTTCAGCAGAGGCAATCATAGTTGAATGAGTACAGGGGTAATTGAAATTTTGGGCTTGGGCTAACGGTAGGTTTTTCTTTTAACTTGAGGCATGAACACAATGACCACTAGGTTTAACATTGAAATTACAGCGTGCAAGGGGATTTTGCCTCGCATTTAGGCCCACGTGACATTCATTCGGATTTACCAATATTTAAGGAGCTATTTTGGAGCCCTGGTCCACTCAAATTCCGGTGTAAAATTATTGAATTGACGCCATCCTTAGAACTTAGTCACTAACAAATACCAGAACAGTTTGATGTGGAGATTTCACGCCGATATCGATCGTTGACAAGCAGATTAACTTTTGATAGTTCAACGCAGAAAACTACAAAAAAGTACATCTTGACTGAAAAAGAACACGTTAAAACACGTGATGTTGCAATGTAGAGGATTGCCAGGAGATAATTAATAAACTCTACAGCTCCAGAAATTCTCCCCATGGATGTCTGCTTTTTTATCTTGGCTGCCATCGTTTTAGGATGCGTCGAGACATAAAGGCTGAGATGGGTAAAATTCACGTCCCTGTCTGGATGGCCGCCTAGTCGGAGCCAGCCGAGTTGGACAGCAGTTGACTAGCGGTGACGCCTACCCCGGTATCGCCTTGGGGACGATGATCTAAACCACTGGATTTTGGGCTATAACAACGTCAGTGAAGTGGGTCCTTACGGGTTACAGTAACCACATATGAAAGCAGTACAAAGCCTCAGCAGAGAAATCTGCTGGATTCCTTTCCGCAACATATCTGCCCACTCTAAACACGCTTTGGAAGGGTGAAAGTGCTTTATTTCATATTATGGCCAGGAAGGCACACCTTTGACTTCTCTTCATAGCCACGCATTCCGTGCCTGCCATCACATCCAATCCGGTAGTCTCACAATAAAATTTGACTTTATGACTCGACGATAAAACAGTTTTCTGCTTCACCAGCTGTTGCAGTTCTTGCCCAATTAACCAGTCAGGAATGCGTCATAACAAGAGAGTTGACTTGAGAGCAGGACGGACATCCAATGCGCATTTCTCAACTTAGAGGCTATCGAAACCGCAAAATTCTACGATTGTTACCTGCCACCGACGAAAAAGACATCCTCAACAACAAAAACCAGACTCTAACCACAAATGTAGTGGCACAGACTACTGCAAGTCGGCATCACTCTCGCAACGGATTGCCTGCTAAGAGATCTTTCACAATTTCCCCTACAACTAACACACAATTGACTAAACATCTACCAGGCGCACAGTGAGAAACGGGGACGGGAAACTCTACTATTAGTCGACAGTTTCAACTAGAGACCCGGGTGACGGATTTTTTGGTACGACGGCTCTCTATTGAAAACGGCGGCTACATCGGCAGAACTGCAATGGTAGGTGCTCAGGCGCACATATGGCAGCAAGTAATGGCGGTTGTTTTCCACTGCGCGCCCCAATAGGCACGTGTGTTGTAGTTGCGCCACCAAAACGACGACGCTTGTTGTAACTCCGCTGCGCACACAAGCCCGAAACAACTGCCAGGGCATGCACACGACGCTAGCACACGCGGATTCGAGAGGGCGCGTGCACGCGCGCGCGCGCGTCCTCAAGTGATCAATAAACGCCGCGAGAGCAGCCAATCACACGTCGGCAGAAGGACAGACACGCGAGAGCGCGAGCGCACACGTGCGCGTGTGGCGTGTGAAAAGTCGCGTTGATTGTGCTGTCGCGCCCACTCGCGGCATCGCAGAGAGCTTGCGCGTGGCCTCGCTCCTCGTAAGGCCACGACCCGCATTCACACCCGCGCAGAGTGCACTCGGATTGCTCCCTCGGCGGGCCAGACGCCGTCTTGGCGCCATGGTAGGGGGGCCGGAGCCCGCGTCCGAAAAGTCCGCTTCGCGCCGGCGGTGACGTGGTCCCTAAGACATGCGAGGAACGAACGCCCCGTTCACACTCCGGACATGGATGGAGCGATCTCGCCCCTACGATGGGATTCTGCTACGCAGTGCAAGCAATGGATGACGTGTGGCAAGTTGCTGCGCCAGAACTGCAGGCAGTTGGATTATACCGTGCTACCGGATTATTCTAACAACGTGGGTTACCCGCAGACACAACTAATGGGTGTTTTGATTAATGTGTTCTACAAATGTATGAAATTTATGCGCTCATTGTTTTGCGTGTTACGTGTAGGCAGGACTTCACAAGATCCATGCCGATCAGATCAGCGAACCACAGAGGGCTATGACAAGGCTGATGGAGGAACTGCGGTAAGTCGCTCCGCTAAAGTGGTTACCAAAGGTCAATGACTTCCACTGAACACGGTCGTCATTGGTTCGGAATCGGGTTAGCCACTTAGATTGCATTTGGGTAGTGCAATGATTCTCTCACGCGGAACATTTCTGCCACGCTGTGATGTAATCACTAATCTCGAGTTGTTAGCCGGTAGATCAAAAGCAAACAAAGATTGGAGAATGAACTTGGTGGTCCAGAGAGCACAAGTTAGCGCAACTACTGAGAGGAAGTGCGACGAGGCGACAGACGTACTGTTTGGGGCGTGAAGGAGTTTGAGGAGCACGGCCAGCGATTCACTCGTGAGGAGATCGGGATCGCGGTCACGTGAGAGAACGAAGAACAATCCAGCTGCCGTCAGACCCAAACTCTAAAGAAAAAACCAACAACAACGGGGGTAGTCACAACCGGCAATGCCACCTCACACTATTCTCCTTAGCGGGCGCTGTTTTTCAGGTAAAACCGCGGCCAAAGCAATGTACAGCAGCCAGTGTAAACAAGAGCCCCGCATTTGTGGAGGCGAGGGTTTTGCCGGAGTCGTAAATAGCACCAGTTTGCCGGTGTTGGCTTCCATTTAAATGGTCCCATTTTTAAGGAGTGTCTTGTTAGAGCCAAGCAAGTGTTCATTCACCAAGCCAAAATAGCAAATAAATGGAACGAAATTGTGCAACATAACCTTCGAACCATTAATTAAACTGTAAGCTATTATTTGCATCACATGGATACGGCATCGTTCAGTGGTTCAAATTGTTTGGAATTTCCAGTAATTGGGATTAGGCAGCATCTGGGCGACTGTGTATTAAAATTTTAATTTTCCCGCGCCACGCCGCACGCGTTTCCGTGCGCGGGAGACTGCGTCACCACGAGTGCGTCGTCAGGAGGCGTAAGTGCGCCCCTCCTAAAAATCGCCAAAGCACCAATTACGTGATTATAAATCAATTTGTGGAACCGACACATTCCTCCACGCGAGACGCCGGAGAGGCTGGACGCTGTCACCAAGCGCGTGTCGGACGGAGGCGACAGCGCGCGCAAATTAACACCACGGGCGTGGAGAGAGTGGGTTGGGTTCGACAAGGGCGTGCCACAGCGGTCATAAATCACAATTCTTTAAACAATAGCCAGGGAGATGCGAGTGTGATGATCCTGCAACAGCTTAATTACATTCAACAACACTTGAGACAAGCAGCTTTTGGCGAAGTCAAGGGACCTGACACAAACCCTTACGACACAATTTCCAGATCAGTTGGTTAAAAAAGTCACAAGCCAACTTACCGGTGTTTCGTTGCTGCCGACGCTGTGACCCAGGCTTGGCAGTGACAAACGACATTGGTCTGAAAGCCGACCGGCGCAGTAACATGTTTCAAAACAACCAGACCGACAACACATTTGATTCAGCATTGGCGGGTAAGGCTAATCAGAAATCAGTGGAGTCATGAAGCGAGTTTTTTTTTCTATGCGCCATTTCGTGAGAATCCTTCATAGCAAGAATGTAAGGGCCCGCATATTTGGGTGGACTTTCTTAACCGAAGTGGTGCTTTCAAACACCAACTCTTCCTGACCGGAGTTCGTGTCATTTGACAAGCGATGGTGTCATAGTGAAGGGACGCGACAGTAGAACGACAAATTGCGAAACGTCAGTTTCCTCTAAATCATTAAAACTGCAGCACAGAACCTCGGCTCGTAAACAACTGCCACACACGCACACACTGACGCACCTCGACAGAACCACATTCCTCTCGGTGCGCCAGAGCTGACCTTTTTTTAATCTAAGTGCCTGTTATCATCTGAGTCGGTCATAACTCTTTTTGGCCCAAGTTGTTTGGTCGAAAATCGGTAAAGCAGCAACACAATCGGTCCAGGAATCAGGAATTTTCGTATTCTTCGAAACGATTTCGTCAGCATGGGTGACGGCACACTGCACAAGTGTTAGTTATACGCTTGCGAGACAGATTCGGGAACAGTTTCTGCACCAAAACAGCAAATCTTGTTATGTTTATTCCAGTTGACCCGTAATTTCTTGAGATGTCAATTCAGAAACGCAATGGCTTACGTGCAAAACAGTGCTGACAATGCCGTTTTGAAATCTGCAGCATGTAATTCTTGAGAAACAGGTCGACATTGTTGGTTGACATATTTCTTCAAGGACTCACAAAGGCACAATCAAACTTTTAGTAAACATGATGTAGAAATCGATTGGTTAGAAATTGATTTGGATTATGGCCACATCTAACAGTGGCCACGGGGTACACGCAAACCCATGCAGAATCTGGTCGCATAAGTTGAAACAATCTCACCTTGGACGAAAGTGACAGACGGCCCAGTCGGCATAGAATGAGATTACGACAACGCGCATTTCTATCCTAAGTAGATTTGACAACATCCAGCCGAAGCTACTGCATTTAGGGAATCATGCTGGAGCATGTTATGCTGGAAATACACAATGTGTTGTCGATGGATTTGGTAGGTCAACAATAGGCTCCAGCCCGTGTTCATAGCATAAACAATTATGGAAGCCATCAATTTTCGCCCGGACCTTGCGGTGTGTGTGGCTGTCGGCGTAGTGCAATGATCTGGTCACCAGTCTGACTGCAAAGGTCATCACCGCTATTGCGAAAAGCTTCGACCTGTTACAAAACACATGTAACCCTTCATTTAGTGTGGAGGTGTCATGAAGCACGGAACCACTCTCGACTTGACCACCGACCACGAACTAATGCGCACGACGACCTGTTCGAGATTTCGGTGACTGTTTGGGGTTCAGTGGTGAACAAAAGCATGCAGCGGCTAACAGATGGGATTTAGGAAGTTAAAAAAATTCCAGCGACTAGGTTTCGATAAAAAAAAGGTCCAGACATTCGATGGGGCTAATTCTGACGTTCCGAAGAGCATGGGAAGTTTGTGTAAAGCAAAAGAAGCGACTGATCAGTAAACTCCAGCATTGTGATCGCCTGATCCCTCCTAGGCAAGACCTGACGTAACGTCAAATGCTATCGAGTATAAGCCACCAAAACCTTAAGATGAGTGCGGCTATCGACGTGAGGGTTTTTGAAGCGCAAATCAAATCTCACAGGGCAACGTGGTTCGGTAGGGGTCGTGTTTCATGAAGCCTCTAACAACTAACTCAAAAATCGAAGCCGAGGGGTGGTTGGAGGCGAAATTGTGCGATCACACTACCTCCACCGCTTGAAAACCTAGCTTAGACGGTTAAAAACATTCAGAAAAGAATGGGAATACTCATAAGGAATCAAACCCAAAAAACCAAGGATTTAACACAGTTCGAAGTGAATAAGGTTGTGGCCTTTTAGTCATCGCATGCGCATCGAAGTCCAGTTAGAATCCAAAGTGTTAGTTCATGCTTGCTACAACAATTGGGCCAGTCAAGGGCCTTTGCGACTTGACCTCGGTTGCAAGCTCAGCAGCCAACGGAATTTTCCCGGGAAGTTATACACACCAATATTAATAATGTGTATTTAAGTATGGAGAGTAACAGTAAATCGTAACTACCTTTTCTGTACCCCGCTGTCATTATACTCGCAAGGCTTAATTGAGGGCATGGGGTTTGACAGCGAATCGAGGGGCCTGCCGACTCTAGCATACACCGCCAGTTTAATGGGTTCAAGTAAATGAATCAGAGGTTTACAAGAAGGCGCCAACCCACCTCCCGTCGATCCAAGAAACCGGAATTCGCGCTGTTTGCAAACTCGGCCACAAATTCGGTTCGATTTTGCCGATCCTGATAAAGTGAACGCACCACACGAGGCATTTGTGAGTAGATCTATCCGACCTGGACTACGAAGGCCAGGATACAACTTCAAAGCGATAGCTCTTTAACAGAAGTTCCAAATCCCCCTGATTACATAAGCGCAAGTAGTGAATAGGATGCTTCCGTGGCGGACATACCACGACAATCTTATCCAACTGCAGAGATGCGTGCGTGATTGCTTTTAATCAAGCAAAGAAAAAACCCTAAATCTTTCGGCAAAAAAATATACCAAAATTAGAGAACGCGTAACTTTAAAGGCCGTGAATACTAAAAAGGCAAATTTTGGTGGATAGATGGTTATCGATCAACACCGATGCTTCGAAACCTATGCCTGTACGTGGGCAGCATTACTTGGAACAACACTAAACGTGTACAGACAGAGACGCACATTTCATAAAAACAATAAAATGATTTAAATAAGAAAAATAAAGGGCAATATACCTCGGCCGAAATTCGTGCGGGTGACTGGAGGGAGTGAGGACGAGAATCTCGCTGCAAGGCCACGCGCGCCTAAGGGTCACTGCACAAAGTGTCCGTGTTAGACTTCTTGGTCGAGATTACAGGACAACGAAGTTGTAGTTGTTTACAGGGACGTGTATTCGTACTTGACACAAGTCAAGTTGGCTTTTTAGTGACGTGCGAACTGACGTATAGACACTCGAAATGGAAATCTTCCGCTCAACCAGGAATGTGAACATTTAAGGTTTTTTATGACGCAGCTCAATCAGGCAGGATTGTACCGAAGAGGCAACACTAACACTCCCTTACAAAACCCAACTAGACAGGACAACTGACGTTACTTAACGACCACTCTTGGGGTCTGGGTGCACTCATCAAGGGGACTGCTGGGCCAAAACGATTCGAGCTTTTGAGGAGGGGCAAATAATGCAGTGGTATGGCAAAAGGCGTTGGTTATGACGTCATAGGGGTGTCGTGGCAATGGGGGAACTCAATTGAGGACAGGCCGCCCGTCGATCGACATCAAATGGGCGCAGGCGTGGGAACGCGGTAAAGACAAGGAGCGGCATGTCCGCAGTATCTCCAACTTAGCGAAGCACGGGATTGTCAGAAGAAAGTAGTAATCGCCAAAATACCTCGATGACGAGGCGTTGCGGCGTCCTGATTAATCTTCCTGCACGGTTAGGCTGTTTAGCCATTTGGCTTTTATCCACTACTATTAATAACTCACTCAACTCCGAAATGAGAGTTATTGGGTAATAGGTGGATTTTCAAAAGAGAGGCAGGAGATATTTCAAGTCGCAGCGACGTAAGAAGGAATCAACTTACGTAGTCGGTGTGAGCATCATGAAGATTGGCACAAATCTGCTTGAGGAGACCGTAGGCATGAATGACATCGCGAGTCGCAGGGGTGAGGCATTTGTTCGCCAGTGTCAAAACGCTAAAAAAGAGGAACGAGACTTAGCCAAGTGTTGCCCTTCCTGCTGCCGTTAACGCGAACATGTTGTCCGAGCCTGTCCAAGTGACCAATGAGGACTCTAACTCTGACGAACATCGCCAAACCAGGGGATTGGATGTGGGAAGAGATAGGGGGACGCACCTGAGACAGCGAGTATTCGTGCTGTTGGTGTCGCTCAAGCCGTCAATGAGGTAGTTCATGTCGTCGAGGGCGTGTTGCACCTCACCGCGCTCCTGGCACTCCGACGGGTCCTTCACCTTCTCCACCACGGTGTAGAGCTGGTAGGAAAAAATAGAGGCAGAAAGTGAATGCTGACGCAAGCAGTCAAACCAGCCTCCCACACAGTCGAGTCGTTTGCGGCAAAAGAATCTTACTTTTGGACTTTTTCATAAATAAAAACCGTCGAAAACCGTAGGAACAAGGATGGTTAGGTAGGTGAAAAGTAATATTTATTGTAGCTTTTGCGTGTTCACTGCACACCGTCAAAACAAACGCGTGTTTTGGTACATGTAACGAAAGCAATGATGAGGGAAATCCAAACGTTGCTACAAAATACATTGATCAAAAAGTATCAATGTAATGGGGTGAGCTTTGCATCCTGTTACAATATGAGCGCAATAAAGCCCACAGGTATGCGAGTTCCTTTTTTTACTCCTAACATGTGTATCAAGTTGTTTGTCGCACACACACACACACTTTGTGGCGTTTGACTTTTACCCAAAATTAGGGTGCGACGCGGAGATTCGGGTGAGGTCGAGTTACGTCGAACCCCCACCAGTTGATTTGAAAGGGTTGCACAAGTTGCAGCTTATGGGCATGCCAGTGTGCGATTACATCGATCGGAATTACACGCAACGGACGTGAAAATCTCTCCCCCTTTCACAATTAAATGCAAATTTTATTACAAAATGAGGAAACAAGAACGGCAACATTTAAAATTGACGCTGGTGATTCTAGATCCGCGGAAGCTGATACAAACTTAAAAGTTACTCGTATTGAAATTTAAAAAAAAAACAGTAATACACTCTATCAGGCACGCCGCGACTTAATTAGGTTAAATTAGTTGGAGAACAAATAGAGAAGCCTAATAAATTTGAAGTTGCACTACGAATCACACATTGGCTATTCTCAAAAATCGCGCAAGTTTGACCAACCAATCAATTACGTTCTAACAACTGGAAGCAACAGCTACCCCTATCACCACAAGGCCAACACCGAACTAATCCACCACAGCCCCACCACGAGCGCAGTATGAATACCCACTGTCGCTACATGGTTTTGTTGCGGAACCACAAGGGTCAATTACGCGACACCAGGACAAGTCTTACACTTAGAACCAATCAAAATCTTGGGAGGGCGGCCGCTTTACACATTACTAACTGAAATCAACATAATAAAAAAGTGCCTAAATCACTTGGCACAGTACCATGGCCATTTGCCAACTAGATTAGTAAAGACCATGCATTGGACAATTCGGTGCTGTTTACTGCAGGTGTCGGCCTGCAAATAGCTGTAGATGTTGGGAGTACGCAAACACAGGAAGCAACTTCGTACAGGAAAAAAATAATAGCAGCACAAACTCACGAGGTTGCTCAAATTGGGGATTTACACTCGACAGGTCTTACTGACAATGAGACTTAACGTAGTGGTTTGAAGTTTTGCAGACTCGATATCGTAGTGTTCACTTGGCACTTTCATGATGCGGACTTGAATCCAGATTAGATAGATAGATCGATAGACCCTTATCAGCGAGACATCACGAACCGAAGATGACACTCCCCCGCCTTCGGTGTAAACACCAAGACGGACGAAGACAACACGACGACAGGGCTGACAGATCGATAGTGAGTGGGATAAAATTGCTTGCCAGCACAACAATAACTAAGTTAAAAACAAGGCACATGGCAGCGAAAGCAGTGCATGGACGTTGGTCTCGACAACACCATCAACAGTTTTTACTGATGCGATCGCCATTTTATGGAAGATTGATACACACCACAATCCCACAGGGAATCATTGCGGTCGGGAAAAATTATCGGATTAACCAATGCGGAGCTTAACTGCGAGTGCTTAAAGACATCCAAAACATGGGTAGTATCCAAGCTAGATCAAGCACCTGCCTGCTTTCGAAGTCGACTGCTGTTCTGACTTGGCCACTTACGTTGCAGCATTTTAAACAGCAACGTCAGGTGTTAGAAAATGGAACTCAGAATACCAGAACAAATTAACTCACCGATTTTTGATCTCTGGGGACAACAATCTTCCTGGGTTTAGTGTCACCACCACCAGCACCACCACCGTCATTCGCAATGCGATTGATAGCTCTAGGATCAGTCTTGACAGTCGCTTTGGTATTGCTCGGAGTCATTTGTTTGGCAGCTTCTCTAGACGCTGGCCAGAACCACGGTTTGACACCATCATCCACTTCGTCCTCCTCGCGTACCGCGAACTCCGATGGCTTCGGCTCGGGCTCTTCTTCCTCCACCCAGGCATAGGGATCCGCCGCCTCTGGCTTTTGATTGGTTGTGGTGGGGGGCGGAAGTTTAGAAGGTTGACTGGAGGGGAGTTTCTGGCGCTGATTGGCCGTAGAGGGTTTCAGAGGGGCGACTTGGGTGGGTCCATTCCGGTGACTTGATTTCTAGAAAAGTTTGAAAATGGAGGTACTGGCGTCTCAGATCAAAGTACATGAAAGCAGTAGGTGTAATTGGACAAAGAAGTGTACAAAGGAACCATGTTTTATTGTGGAGTTGAAATTAAGGGAAAACACAGACTTCTCCATGCCTTAAGATCCATTGTGACAGGTTGGGGTCCCATCCGAGCCAAAGAGTGGACAGGCGCCCATAAAAAAATAATTCTGGAAAGTCCATCGACTTCGCTCCGAAAAAATGCCCTGAACTACAAATATGATTCACACAGTTCCATAACATGGCAAGTTTAACAAATTATTTTAGTTTATTGGCTTAATTTGAGTGAATGGGAGAAGAAAAACGAGCAAGAGAGGTGGTGGGTGGCAAAAAACGCAGTGTTTCGGAGAGGATGTGCAGTAGTCTAGCAAGACGACGGTAGGAGAAATCGATCATAAGGTACCTGGTATGGATTATCGCTAAATCAGTCTAGATACATTTGGATAAGCTGGCTTGCTACCAGGTAAAAGCATGCTTTGGAGCCCACAGCAGCATGTCAAGACCATAACCCACTACTCATGGAAGTTGAAAGAATCCATTGAGTACACTGACAAGGGCAAAAGGAACGTCATTTGCCACCATAACAGCGGGACATTTTTAATGCCGGGACAACACAAAACACGCTATCAAGGCAGACATGCGCAATTTGGGTTTGAAGGGCATGCGCGTGTGAGACTCACATAGTTCTCGAGGGATTGGGACTGAAGTTGTGGGGATCGCCACTGCGATGAAGTGTACTCCACCTGGGACAGGGGAGAGCAACAAAGTGAAGAGAACTGGGCAACACGGAACACCACAGGGATCGAAGTTTTCCAATGTTAACACACACACACACACACATTATCAGCCTTCCATTCGGTATATATATGGGTCCAAGGTGAGTATCAAAGAAATTGATTTTCCGGGAAACCTTTATTTACGCCTCAAGCCCTCCCCCCTAAAATTGCTGCCTTTGTGAACGCATGGACGTATAATTTACATGGTGGTTTTGGGGCACGCTATGTGAAGAGGAGCTACAAGAAATCGCTTAAGAGCGAAAATCGACCGTCCACTAAGGAAAAAACACGAAATTGCGAAAATGAGCCATAGCACCATAAAAACGCATTAATATGGAGTCATTTGAAAATAATCCCATTCGAGATATTTACTTTCATGGTATTCGAAAACACTTGTCCATGCACAGGACAAGCGTAGGGAACAAGCGACCAGAGGCCAAGGCCAAGGTACGTACTTCATGATAATTGACAGCGAAAGTAATTCCAAGGACACATTAGGGCTCAAGAATCGTGAAAATCACCTGATTCAGTATAAATATGAACAAAGCATGGTACACCCATAGTTTGAATGAAGATAAGAATGTAGAATGGATCAAGTCGAACGAAAACTGGAATGCCAAAATTACTGACACTCTTCTCAATGTCAAACGAAAATACCTTGTAGATGCAGGATTTACCAATAAGTCCTTGATATTTAACGGTCAACCTAGACAGTGCTGTCAACCATTTACCTTTAATGCTATTCAAGACGTTTGAGACAGGAACGCTTCTCAGTCACTAAAGCTGTTTATGATTTTATTAAATAATCAATATCTGATAAGCTCACATCCGATCTGATTACTCTCTGTTCCGATTTGGTTCTATTTGTTAAGGAACTAAACATTTAGTAGTTTTGTCGGTTTCATGTAGGAAAACCAATTAAATTTTCTTCAATGGATATCGTGTCCTTAACGTTGAAAGGCTAATAACGGTATGCTAAAGTAAAGACATTTTCAAGGTAAAACGGTTCGGCTATTTCATTCAAAAAAACGAGGGTGACGCGATGCTTCTAAGAAATTTTCATCAAAAAACTAATCCTGTAATACGGGCGATAAAATGTACTCCTCAGTCAACGTCTATGGAAATGAGAGAACGTTGAGGAGTTGGCATTAGTCTGGACAACCATGGCGGTGAAATTCAGCCTTTGAGTTATATTTAGACATTCCTCGACATATTTACCTCACTGCAACATTAGCCACATACCAGACAAAACCATAGCTTATTACATTGAATATAAACATCTGGACTGTCTTTTAGATGCAATGATTGGTTAAAAATCATCGCAGTTACAAAATAGAAAAGGCACAAAATGAAAAGACAGTGCCCCAGAGATAAAGTACGAAAAAAACAAATCCTTGAGACTTACCCTTCTGAACTTGGGTGCGATTAAGGGAGTGGCAGCGAGAGAATTTTCACTACCACTTCGTAACTCGTGTTTAGTAGACACAGAAGTAGGTATGTTTAGGGGCGCTGGCGGAGGAACTGCGACCGGAGTTGTGCAACGAGGTTGCTTGGTGAGTGGTGGAAGAACGTCTTTATCAACGTCATCAGGAGTGGGGACGGGTGAGGGCGTGGACCGGAAAGTGACCACATTGACACGTTTTCGAGAGGAGGAGACAGGTGGTCTTGAGGAATGTCCATTAGTGGTACCACTAACATTTCCTCGACTCAGTTGCTCGAACCGCTCATTCGGACGAGAACTCCGAGTGGCAAAGGTGCGGTAGGGTATCTTAAAAGGTTAAAGCGAACCCGTTAAATTAAAAGAGGAGAGGGCATCAAGCAAACTACAAAAAGAGGCGAATTATAAGCCGGAAAACCTCAGATTAATTTTTTTTAAAAATAAAACAACGCACAGAAATGCATTTTCACATGGGTAGTACAGCACTTTTACTTGAACATTTTAGTCCGACGAAACTGAAATAAAGCGAAGAAATAATACCCAATTTTAACAATGAAGAACATCGGTTACAGACTTAAAGGATCTCAGTTACTGCGACTTCATGTCAAAAAATGGACTTAGAAAAAGGAAATATATAAAAGCATCATGTCAAATTGACAACACATCCAAAATTGGACAAGAAAGAATTGGGCAAATTGCTTATGGTTAGGAACGTTAGAACTGTTCAATTTGGCAGCATAACTGCATTACATATTTATTTTAAAAGTAGTGTAAGAACTAAATCTTGCAACTTCAATTACCCATTCAAGGGTCTCACAGAACTGCCGAAAAAAGGTATATTTCAATTAAGACATAGTATCGAAAAGAAACCCAAAAGTAAGCGATAGATTTTCCAATTCGTGGCTGTAATGTATCTTCGCGTAACAGGATTTTCATTTTAAATCCAAATAAAAACGAGCCCAAAAAATCACAAATGGCATCAGACCTGGTTCTATGTTTTATAATATTAAAAAAACACGATATATTTAGTTAAGCTAAAGGAACTCACATCCATAACTTAGACGAAAAATCAGTTCATCGGCATCCAAAAATGTGTCAGTAATTCACCTAAATAAAACAATTTAATAATTGAATAAAACTTTATTTGCTAAAAATCTGTTTTCACGCCTAAATTTCAATTTTCTATTTTATTTTAGGCATAAGATTTTTGAGGTCAGGTTTAATCCCTAAAAAAAACCGGTGCTTTTTATTCGACGCTTACTGGGAACAGGAAAGCAGAATGCGATTTTATTCCAGATAACTTAAAACATAATTCTATTTGATTCGAAGATCATATTGTCCATACTTTTTGTGGTCGCATTAGAGAAATTCATCGCTTATCTTAAATTCATTTCTAAATGGAAGTTGGTATTTCTTGTTCTGAATTTTGCATTGGCCTTCGTTTGTTCAGGGATTTCACTTTGGAGAGTTTGATTTGCTCTTTAAAGTTAAATTGCATTTTGAACAGAGGAATATTGATCAACTTTGTCCATTTTATTCGCTAAATTCAAATATTCCTAATCTTACTTCATCAATTACATTTTGTCCATAATAACAAATCCCTGAGCTTGTTATGATTTAGGGTTATATGAATTAACAAGTAGAGAAACGGTTTAAGAAGTTAATAACTTTTCCGCATCTGGTAGTCTAATGGTGCACGATCAGCAATTATTATGTCATCACATTACTGCCCACCCAAGCCCCATTTGTATGTTGTGGACTCCATCATGTGGTCTTAAATCACGCCGGAGCTATTGAATTAACCTTGGTCAGATTACGCTTCCCCGATACCCGCGATGAAGGAAAAGGCCCAAGAAGACACTGTTACAGCCGTTTACTTCATAGGTCAACCACGTTGGTGCTGTTGTGTCGTGTGTCTTTATACCTCAGATGTGTGAGTCATACCTGCGCTAACATCGAGATCTAGGTGTGAGCATAATCCAAATATCCATGTGAATGAAGGAGAAGTTAAGGATCCGCGCGGCTGACGACATGCTGCGAAAAGGTGAAGTCTCTGCTGGGGGATGGAGTGACCAGTTTAAGGAGTGTGCATAAACACGATTCACAACATGTACTTCCCGAATTCCGACAGATGTATGGGTCCTGGCGATGCACTTTTATGGAAAACAATTTCCTTTCTATTTGTCAAGCTAAACCATCTTTCGTATATTTTTCTCCAATCTTTTTGCTAGGAAACATCAGCATTATTTATTTGGCCTCTTGATATCACGTTAATTTACTTAGCACATTTGCAATTGAACCAATATTTTATTGCAAATTTTTGGATCCCATTCATCGTTCAGGCCTTTATCTGCTGGCTTATATCGTTGAACAATGATGGTTTTTGATTTCTTTTTTGATTTTAGACCATACAATTTTATCACCACTGAATATAGTGCTCAATCAGGACATTAAACTTCCAAATGTATGAAAATTATTTTATATTTTGCGTGTGTGTGTGTGTGTAACGTGCTTATCAAAAGTGTACTTTAAAGCGGAGGTTACTATCAGTCTTCTCCTCAAGATTAACCAGACCATTCGGTTTATCACCATGTATGGAACAAAAAAACACGAAGTGGTACGAACCTGGTGCATTATTGACTATCGTGCACAAAAGTATAGGGGTTAGAGCGTACAGAGGGTTTGCGAGTGTTCGTGAAATTTCTGGTTGTAGGTTGACCCTAAGGCCCATAGGCGTGGAACGAGGAAAGCTGATGTACGTTGATCAAATGTTGTGCACTACATGTAGCACTTTTATGCCATCTCCAATCTCTCGCATAATTAAATACCGGATAGATTGAATTATGGCCTTAATTTTGTTATCCTTAACTTTAGTATGTGGGATATATTTTTAATCAAACCTGATAGAAAAATCTACATAACTGGACCTTTATATCAATTTAGGCAGGTATGATTCGTTAAGCAAGCAACTCCCTAAACTTTAATATGTTTGTGGATTCTATTCAGTTGCACACTTTATGATTTCCCACATAATTAAATTGCATAACAATTCAACATCATTCATTTGGCTTGTTATGGTATGCGGTGCAATGTACGATTTTTTATTTGAAGTATCTGAAGACCGAAAAACTTGTGTGAACGAAACGTCACGCATGCCACTTGATATGTCGTCTATTTTGTAGCCATATGCTTTGTTTTTGCACATTTAATCTCGCATAATATTTAACAATGGATGTTTCAATATCCAATTAATTTGCTTTAACCTACTAGTTGTTCCTTCTTTCTTTTTGGTGCCAAATAATATGCACTTTTTCCCTTATCACGATGATGTCTGATCGAAGTATTGCCAGTTTATCTTAGATTCTCAAGATTGCTCTGGTCCAAAATTGAACCCACGAAAAGGTAACTTTGGTCAGTTTCATTAACTTTTCGAATTGCGTTTTGCAGAAAGACATATAACGAGTGTTCAACTGTAACGATTAGTTGGCGGAGGATTTAAAAGACATTCCGTACGACGGACGTATTAGATTTCGGGTGGTGTGTTTCCAGAAATAGGATTCTATTTTTATAAATAGAAAATGAAAGATATAATTTTGACCCGCAAACAAGGGGAAACCTGCCTGTTAAGTCTTTGAATCCATTTAGTTCTCTAAAATTCTGCCTCAATTTTGTTGAACTGCGGTGGGAGCCTTAACTTGTTCCACTTATGTGTACAAAACAATGCTTGCACCTAGTAGGTGGGATTCGTATCTTGATTACTCCAACAGAATCTGGTTATACCTGGTGATGGTATGAAAAAGTTGTTAAAAGGTAATTAGAACTACTGCTAAAATAATAGATTCCCTTTGAAACAGCATTGATTTCTCGTATGAAGGCCAAATGAGGCCAAATTTGGTCGGTTTGGTAACGAGAGTATGGAAATGGGGTTGTCGACTGTTAATATTGATCGTGAGATCCATTTGGTGAAAATTACACGAGTTTAGGTGAAAGAGGGTGCTTAGTATGATTGAATATTTCATCCACAAACAAGCATGAATTATCACATGGAAATTTACCTTGTTAAAAGGTGACCACTGTTAAGCATTTTAAACGCCTGGGAAATGTTGGGTGTGCTGGAGATGACGGGACACAACCGTTTACTTCAGAGCTCAACCAGAATTGGTGTCGTTGTGTCGCGAGTGGGGTTTGCGCGTGTGTATTTATACCTTTGGATGTGTGAGTCATACATGTGCTAACATCGAGATCTAGGTGTGAGGTTAATCCAAGATACACATGCGTGTGAATGAAGGGGGGAGTTGAGGATTTGCGCGGCTGTCGCCATGCTGCGAGAAGGGGAGCCCGTGTCGGAGGCGAAGCGATCGGATTAAGGAGTTGATTAAACACGATTCACAACTTGGCTTCGTGACGGAACAGCAGCAAGCATTCAGATTGGCTATAAACTAATTTATTCATGATGCTTATTCAGTCATCTTTCTAGTTCTCTCAATGACAAATACCGTACCATCAACCAAAGGGTCTGCTGAAAATTGCCTTTCATCAGTTTTAAGAATAAAATTTACCAGGTTTCAATGGAGGTTAATATTTTAATAGTCAGAGGACATGCTCCATTGATTGGATTGAGAACACCAGTGACTAACTTCACGAAAACCCATGGGAATTATGCTTTAATTTAACAAGTCAGTAGAATATTTAGAGATGAAAAAGGCAACGTAGAATACGGCCAAAAATTCATTTTTCTTTATTGGTCAATAAAATTAGACATTTAGACTCACTGTTGGCTGGGGAAATTCATTGCACTGATTGTGCCAATGAAGACTATAAATTCACTCGGGCTTCGGATTCGCAGAATGCATATCGATGTTTAATCACTATAATTTGGTAAAATTGCTGCTAAAAAGAGATTTCAAGGGATTGGAGAAAGAAGCTGCATTTGCATTCATCAAATGTTTATACTTGATGCAGGATTTCTAAATTTAATAACCTTAAAGTGAAAGGAAAAATACAACGTGGCTGACACAGAGTAAAGGCAGAACTCACGTTGTCTACATTTAAATTAAGTACTTTGAAATTCTCGGAATTCTTTGGCACAAAACTTTATCATAAATTTCTTACGACCCAAGGTCACTTGAAATGTAGCGAAGAAATGTAATGGAGCAAAATATGAGTTGATCAATAACACAGTGACGTAGTTTTGTGGCATTTTAATACACTCAAGTTTTTGATACATCTATGTGCTTTACCAATGGGAGACAAGAAAACCACTGGCAGAAAATGTAATGCGGAGGAACTAAAACTGTAGGCTTTATGCACGTTTGTACATTTTCTGACCTGTTCATGAATAAGGTTGACTTAAAATATTGGTTTCTTAACACTTGACGAGAATGGTACCATCATTAAAGATTTAGCCAATATTACTACTGCAGGAAATATTTAAACAAAGTGCTAAGCTGAATTAGCTTCAGAGATGTAGAGAAACCTTTCAGCGATGTCAAATAAGAGCAAGGTTTGCAATGCAGACTAATTTCTATCACTTAGAAGTAATCGTACCAAAGTAGATAATGGAATTTAGTTTCATTGGTTGATTTGGTGTTTACCAAATAGCAAGCGATTAATTTCTTAGGCATTAATGTCACTTCAAAATTCTCAGACAATGACTGCAAATTTAATCGATACGCATAATTATTAGTCAACCTAAATGTAGTGTTTGGGCAACTAACGCACATGTCTTTTGAAATATAATTGAAAATTGTACCATCTACACATTACTGTCTAGCATGGAGTAAGATCAAAGATATAGAATCCTTCGTATCTAGCATGTTTTTTTTTCATCCCTTTCAGACGGTTACGTTAGCCTTTGTGCTTACATTGATGCAACCATTTATTATGATAATTCATGACAAATTATTGTAATAAAAAGTTTACCCGCGTAATCAACAGAGATTTCCTCTGCGGTGCGTAACAGCTGAAATAGCTGCACGGTCAATTGCGCAGATTTTTTCTATGTTGATATTTGTAATTTCTTTAACAATATTGTATTTTCTCACGATCAAAGAGATACCCAAACAATGCACTGGAAATAGAATGTTAATTAATTCATGGAAATTCCACCGGCCACGTGACTGGATGGCTCCTGTTAATAGTTTGTAAATCGGCGCCACACAAAATAATTGCTGCCGCAACCCAGATTTCTAATAACCCGGCTGTGATTGATGAATTACCATCCTGCTTGGGACGTGAGCACCACGGGCTGACTGCAGCATTACCCCAGGTAGAGGGGAGAAGCCGTCAAGTGGTTCGTTCTGAGGACCACTGGACCAATTGCAGGGGAGCCGCGGTGTGACACTGTGACTGTTGGTGCTGCTGGCACCGATTTTTCTGCCCCGCCCCACAAGAGAGACATGGAGTGGGAAATTGAACGAGAAAACGATAAAGATTTGTTTTAGTCCCCGACATGTGGTCCTGATTACGTTACCCTGAGTGCCCCCTAAGATGAAGACGGGAGAGGACGAGGCACAGCCGTGTACCATACACCTTAGCGCAGTTGTGTTGTGTTGACTGATACAGTTGAGTGGAATGGTCACATGGATAGGGAGGGTGGTGGTGGTGGTGGTGGCACGTACAGAGGGGTGAGTGAGCAGGCTGTCCCAATGACTGACGGGCACGCCGTGAAAAGGGGACGCGTGTGTGTGAGGCTGCGACAACCGGATTGTTGGACGTGAATCAACACGATTCACTACAGACTTTGTGCTCTTGCGTAACTCCATGTTGACCCACACAACTCTTCACACACGCATCTCATCTGGCAAATGTATTCCACCAAACCAGAATTCGTGTATTGGTGATAGGGTCAGCGTTTCCGAGTGATGACTTCACCATGCTTGAAGAATTAGCTTGGCAACGACTATTTTAACCGCGAATCGTAGGTTTTACGTATAACAGGCGCAGGCCCCTATTGCCGCTCGAAACCACGGGACGTCGCATGGAATTTGGAGGAATGGCATGGAAGTTGAAAACATGGCGAAAATCAACTGTGAGCTGCGACTTTGAGCAAATGCAAGAAGCGTAGATGAGCCAAGGGTAGGGCAGAGCCAGGAGATTCAAATGAAATGGGGAAGCAGGACGAGGTGTTAACTGTGCCTCTAAGGCTAAAGCCTTTCTTCTCACGATGCACCTCCCCGATTGTAGGCCCTGGCAACCGTCCTCGAGGTCTAGCAACGTGATCAGTTGATCCACTTTTGAGCTCATCTGTTCTGATTGCAAACATTGACTGACCATTAATTCGACGATGTTTACTTTTCCGAGGCATACCTTTCTTTGGCGTTCTCGATGGGCAACTGCCATGATTAGAAGTCAAGGTGAAAGGAAACACACGTCGCCTGTCATTTCTGAGCAACAGGTACAACCCATAAAGCTATTCTGGAGTCACGAGAGCTAGGTCTGTGGATTATACTCTTTGAATCTTCTGCATGTCCAGGCATCAATCTCAGATTCAATAATCTCTAATTTTACATTACATCATGACCATCATGATGGACGAGTTCCATTTTACTTATTTGATAATTTAAAATCCTGATGAATTTTTCTTTTGCACCCTGTTTCTGCATTCATTTGGTGATTGAAATTTCATCAGATGAAACATGCTTCGGGAGGAAGAAACAGGTGTTTTATTTGGTAGTTAGATTAAGGCCGTGTTGTAAAAAACGTTGATTCACACTCGTTAATTCGGTCGCGCCAATCTCCCTTTGCACAGTAGGCCGTCAGCCGAGCTGGACTTCAACTCACACCTCGTTATCGTGGACGCGCATCCGAGATTATCGCCGCATGTCATAATTTCCGCATGGGTCTCAATGCTAGTTCATTTATGATTATTCACACGCCAGAGCTATAAATACACACGCACAAACGCCACACACGTAGACAACTACACGCCACGGAGTTGTCACAGCATATTCCACACGGACACGCGCCGACGTCGACTTGGTCGAGCTCTTGACCTAACGGTTGTCGTTCAGCCCCTCTGCCATCCCAATGCTTTTTGGGTGTTTGGTGCTATTTCGTGCTGACACAAACTTGTGGCCCCGACAGCAGACGAAGTTACTGAACGCAAAGATTGCCGCATGTAACTTGTGAATTCAATGATGCCCAAGGTACCCCCAGTCATTCCTGCTCTCTTGTCTTTTGCGTTAACAGGGGTCGGGAGCATTAGGATTTTTTAATCCATTCAGCCTCACCTTTTAAATGGAATCTTTCCCGTCTCTGCATCCCTAGCATAACAGATACTCCCTCTACACTCTTGAAAAGCATTTAATAATGTTAAGCAAACTATCTTAACTAAAGCACCTTTGTCTTGGCACGAGACAGCACGTAGATGAGAAGACAAGTCAACCAAGCTTGTAGTCTTGTGTCGTTTAGCTGATTTTTTAGCCTGTGCAGAAAGCCCACGTGCGAAGATCGATAAATACGAGCCAATCCATAAAGTGCTTAACTTGCATCAAACAATCAAACTTAAGAGCAACTCGCCGTTTTTAGCGCACATCTTATGCGAGGGCAGCGAATGCTAACGCATTTTCTTATGTTTTATTCCGGTTTCTTAGGTACAACATTCTACATTGGTTTCCAAACTGTCAGAAATATTCAGTCAGAAACATTGTGGTCTGTTTTTTATTTGGTTTTTAGAGCGGCGGGGAATTGTCATCATGCCCGTGACTAATGCTTATTAAACTGGGCTGGTGTGTGAAAAAAAAACAGTCTGGGGTGTTGGTAAACAGCTGAATTATAAAAACACTCATAAATCGTTGTCGTCAGTCACCACAATAATTATTTGGACTTGGTGTAAATGAACTCAACAAAGGACCACAATGGGAGCTACTTTACCCGACAGCCGTGGTGGTAATGTGCTTAAGCAAATATTAGTCGATCGAATTAAGAAATGTAATACCTTACCTTTGAAGTATTAACTAGGCACGTCGTAACACACCAATTAGCTTTCTATATAACAAGCGACTCACTTTTAGGCATGCGAAGAATCGGCAGCCACCTTAGACTTCAATATTTCGGCTCTACGGTAGCTATGTGCGTGAGTGGAGCTTTTTCACGAGTTGGTCCGGTGTCAGTTGCTATTGGCCGATGTTGAAAACCGATAATCAGACTTACGTACTCCCTCAAAAGCACACCTGTCTGGCTTGACGCTCGTTTAAACGGTCCTGCCTCTGTTCCCAGGTTGTTGCGGCCTGTCAATTAGCGGGCTTGTAAGGTAATGGAATCGAGCCACTACACCCCCATACTTAAATGTCTTCAGCAAATTTGGCTGGCCGAAAATATTTCCACAAATGTTTTATCTTCTCGAATGTGTTATAACCACTTGCTTTTCGAATTATGATGTCACTTTTCATGCAAATCCGATTTGATGGAAAAAATACTCTTCCATAACGCGGGACTGAGTCAAATTAATTCGGTGGCTCTTCTGTACATTGTTCTAAGTTAGGCCCCACACTTACGTCGTAATGCAAATCAGTCGGTACCCCAACTATAGCTCCTTATCTTCATGAACAAAGACACAACCATTCCTATCAAGATCAGTTAAGAGGCCTGCGACCCTCTTGTGTGACTTGAAAATGGCCATTGAATAATACCAGTGACTTGCGCGTAGGTAATGGTTCGGGTTATACAGTGTTCTACTTACCTGTTCAAATTCATGGTAGTTTTTGGTTGGGTGATCAACATCCTCACATTCAGTTAGCCTGTTCGTAAGGCGTGACCTAAACGCTTTGGACGATGTGTCACTGAAGAAAGCTCCAGTCGCCACATCAATGTTTCTGCACCGACTGTGCTTCACCCGCTCTTCGTTTAGTGTTAATTAGCCCTCGATGAGGGGAAATGGCAGTTTTAAACTAATTACTTTGTTGTGAATCGTTCTCATTCACACCCCGTAATCCGGTCGCTCCACCTCCGACACAAGGTTCCCCTTTTCGTAGCATGTCGCCAGCCCCGCGGATCCTCAACCCCCCTTCATTCACACGGATATTTGGATTATCCTCACACCTAGGTCTTGATCTTGGTGCATCTATATCTATCACATCCGAGGTATAATTACTCGCGCGCAAACTCCACACACGACACAGCGACACCAGCGTGGCTGAGCTCTGAAGTAAACGGTTGTGTTCACGTCCTCTCTGATCCTTTTCTTCATCGAGGATATCAGGGAAACGCAATCGGGTCAGGGTTAATTCCGTGGCCCCGGCGTGGCTGAAGACCACACGCTGGGGCCCACAACAACTTCATGATGAGAGCCTCAGATCCGAAAAGCTGTCATGTCACTGACAGGCGGTCAAAACCGTTTAACGCCTACCTAATGCACGTATTGGTTCGAATTTCGACGTTATAACCCCACGAAATCTCTGCAGAGCCAGCCCCTGAACGACTTCGAGGACAGATCCAAGTTAACTGGATTTAATTCGATGTCACCTTAGTTAGTTGGCCGGACAGATGGGGTGTAGAAGGGGTTGTTAAGGCATGTTTTAACATCCTTCCTTTGACGAGCAGCCACCTGTGCAGTCATTCAGCTTGCTCCGTTCGCCAGGCCCACATAAACACGCAAGAAGGTTTAGTTAGACAACTTTGATCATTCCAGCTGTTTCCTTTGCCTGTCATATAACCAGATGTTCAATTTATTTCTCTTTGATTCAACAAATGATGGTTAATGCTTTTTTTATCGTAAAAACAGCTAGTGTAACCTCGGATGTGCTCAAAATGGATGGAAGCCTGATCACTCGCGAAACTGACTTTTGTTGTGTGAGCAGGTTTAAAGACAAATCTTAACTTTAGGTATTAATTCCAAGAGAAAAACTGAAAATGCTTTTAAATAAGGGAGCAACGTTGGACATATTTGCTTATTGATTGTTTCTAGAATTATTTTAAGCCGTCAAGAAATGTTGGTTCTAAACTGACAAATGCGTACCAATAAAGAAATCCTCAGCAGCTGTTTTCTGATATTCTACATAAATCGACTGGGCTTTAGTTCCATATGAAATATATTTTAAGTGATGATTGGCACATCTATCGCAATTCGGGCGTGTGAGTCGGTGCTATTTTTAGTAAAATCGAGAAGTTGCCATGCCTATCAAGTAGCTGTGTCTGGTTTAGACGGCAATTAAGAGAAACCGGTGGGTTATTAAAAGCTCTGCTGATGAAGCAGATGGCAAAGGGGAGATTGACTGTTCCCATGCGCAACACCTGCGTGAGCGAAACACCTGGACCAGGTGCGACACGTGAACACCTGCGCACCACTCCACTCCACTCTCGTTGCTACCGCCCTCTCCCCATCTCCCGCCTTCTCCACCACGCACACATCTGTCACCGGTTTCCTTCTGGCGAACCACCGTTCTATAAGACTGGATGCATAAACGAAGGTAGTGACGTACGTGGCGTAATCGCCAACCTTAATCTCAATCCACCAATGTCAAACGCGAAATCGGTTGTCGAAACTTAGATCTGCATATCTCAATACGATGTGAGGGTTATTACCAGCTTGAACCTCTGGAATCATTTTACCATGGGACACGCTTAATTAACGTGTTACAAGTAGTTAAAACGAAGAAAAAACATGAACTCGTGAGGTTGAAAATTCAAAGTTGGTGCCGCCACCCGAGAAGCACTAAAGTACTTACGCTGACATGGCTAAAATCTTCACCAACAATCGTATCCGTGAAAGTGAAATGATGTTGAATCGCCTTGCACGAGGCTTCGATCCCATAGTGGATCTTGTTTGACTTCTCGACTGTACAGTAAACGCTCGGAATTCCAATTTCTGAGAAGTAACATGCGCAGAATCATGTCGTAGTGTGTTAAGTGCGATCTTACTTTGGTAAAACTAGTAGGGGGAAGGAGGAAGCCAGTGCCGCGTTGGTTTTTTATAGTTCGTGATCTTGTCATATGTCCTTATTTAAACTGCATTACTCTGTTTCCATTTAAAATTCCTTTAATATTTTAACTTAACTTGTATCTATATAACGTTATGTTAAATAATTTCCAGCGGTGAATTCCTATTTTGAAAATACCAAACCTCAATATTATAAATTTTGCGAAATATAGAAAGTCAACAGGGGAGAACGCACGAGGTGTCGAGTCCGCCAAAAACGGGCCGATTAGTGGTAAGGGGTTACTGCACTCCAGTCCCCGATTTTTCGACTAAAACCTCTTTCCACCGATCCGCCGTTTACCCACAGCTTGACCTATACCCCCCTCCCTCAAAATCCTGAGTCCGCCAGACGCCTTGGTAACCGAATCCCATCCCGTCTCGATGTAAACACGTACCAGGTGGATGTCCCCCTCACGATTGAGTGTGCGCGACCAGGGTGGGCAGTGTTCCTGTGGCTGCGTACACACACACACGCCTTCCAGGTGGTGGTTTTTACTACTCCCCCAGGGTCCTAGCAACGCACACTCGAGGCCCCCACATAAACGCAGCTGTTCTCGGGGCGCGTGTCTGTGGGTGCTTCTCCCATCTAACGTGTGCCCATGCGCACAGCTGTTTCTGACGGCGAACATCTGCCAGCGCGGTCGACACACTCTCCATTTGACGCAGGCCCAAGTCACCGACCGGATGGTTGTTCTCCCCGCAGCCTCTACAGGATTTGATCTAAACTCTGGGACCACCAACTTCTTGATTACGAACCTCCTGAGGGAGGATTTTCCCCCTCGACAAAAGAAGGCCATGTGCTTCCTAAATATGCACACGAAGGGTCGCGCCAGGGCTCAGCAGCAAAGGATCAAAGCTAATGCCAGGGAGCGCGGAAGAGTTCACACGATTGGCGCGGCTTTTGACGCCCTAAGGAGGTCGGTGCCCGTCTCGAACGAGTGCAAACTCTCCAAACTGTCGATTTTGCGCATCGCCGCATCGTACATTGAGACACTAACAGCTTGTATTGAGGCTTACCCCAATGGCGATGACAAACCTGAAGACCTATCTTGTAACAAGACCAGGCCTCCTGTTGTTCCCACTGCCACCGCCGCCGGGGGAAATGTTGCCATGGCGTATTTCAACCAGTGTTCATTAAAACTCGTTACGCGGATACGACGAGAGTGTCGGGGCAATGGACACCACCTGAGGTAATCTACACTTGTTTTCACATAAAAACTGACTGTGATATATCCCCACCATACTCTCTCTATTCATTATACCGGAAATAAACAAACTGCACACCTAATATTTGCAACCCGCTTAAGCTTTTCTTTGCCTCTTAAAGCATTGGGTAATCTCTGGGGTAGTTTGGACGCTTAGCTGATTCTGTCACATGAAAATGACCGATGGGGTTGTCTAAATATGCTGTGTTTGCCTGCAAAGTTCTAACAAATAGTTGGATTTTCAATATCACTCGCTTTATCAGGGGTAAACGGTAAAGAAAGCGACATAAATGTGACGATAACTAAACTATATATGAGCATCATAATTATAACCAAGAAACCCACGTAAAAATTGATCAAAAGCGCGGATAAACACTAGCCCAATAAAGTGGAAATTGAATAAGATTTTGAGAATAAGTAAATAAAGATATTGCGAAGCATCAGAAGTTCGATTCTGTGTAATAAAGCTGATTGAATAGTTTATTCGGTCTTATAAACTTTATTGAAAGGCATTTCATTACCACGGAAACGACGCTTCTACTACGACATTCTGAGGGGCCGCAATAGCATGTCCGGTTTATGAATTTCAGTTCTGCGTGGCCAGTGAAATGCCGTTCAAGATCTAGCTTGCCAGTTCTCTAAATCAAATCTCGGCTGAGTAAAGCCAAACTTCTATTTGGAAGTGAACAACCGCATAGTTTTCGCAAAGATTCTTAAATAAATTCGTTTGGAATCGCTTAGGTTAATTTAATTTAACCTTTAAAAACGCCTATTAGGGTCTGAACAGGGGGTTTCACGTGAAATTCGGGCAGGGCGTAACAAAAAATCACCAAAAGCATGATCTTAATGGTTGTTTAATTCGTCGACCCCGATTTGAATCGAGGTTACTAAAGGGTTTCCCAGTTAGAATTAAACGATTGAGGTTCTTTAAAAATCCAAACACCTCTGTAAGTCTAGATTCGCACTTGTGCGTGACTCACGGCACACGCAAAATCTAATGCAGCTTCAGTGTCTTGATAACACGCTATCCCTGAACGATAAACTATATTTGATTTGTACTGCCGAGTAGCAAACTTATAGCAATAGGCTGCTTTGTAGTAAGCTCAGTTGTTGACGCGAGGCCGCTGTGAAATGTGGTGATTATTTAATTATGGAGGAATATCTCAAAATAAGTGTCCATAATAATTTTACTGGAGCCACAAACGGGTCAGTCAAATGCTATTTCCTACTGAAATAGGTGAATTAAGTCACTAAGTTAGTAGCTAGGGTTCCGTTGGTGGGAAAAGTAGAACGTGGCCAAGACTAACAAATCTTTGGATGCACTTATTGAGGCTGGATGGTTTGTAACTACTCGTTTCATTTGCACGCTTTGATTCCCAGATCAGTTAATCGTGAGTTGTGTTGCGTCTTGGTGAGTAGGGCAGGTGGCGGCCGCTGTTATCGGACACTTTGGGTGTTTACTTAACTGCCACTACGAGGTGGGGGAGGGTGATGATGACAATTGGTGGTGCGAACAAGCACCAAAAGGGACAATTCGATTATAGCATCACCAAGGCTTGGGGTTCCCAAATGTTGAATAGAGAGGGTAAGTTATTTCTTGGTTGGCTTGGCACGTAGCGGAACGGCAGACAGCTTGGAGAGAGGACCATCGAGTCTGATAGCCCAACGTTGGGTGTCGAGACTAATATTCGTCCATTGGTCTTTCCTGGTCATGGTCGCCTCCAAAATAATGACATCAAAACCCAGTAATTAGCTATGAACATTGACAATGGTATTGACGCTGTAGCTGTTTCACAAAATTATACTTCAAACAAAGAGTAGTTAGCACAGTACCTTTGACGGAACGGAGGGTGCGCCAGAATTATTGCTGTGCGGCCCAAGCCTCGTGCAAGAGGTAACGAGTGCACATACCCGTGTTAAAATCGAACGAACTGCGAAACAAACCGAAGCCGAGGTGCATTGTGCGGCTGGGTACATTGCTGCGCACGCTAAACGATGCCAGAACCGAGAACATTCAGAGATTTTCCAACCACATCTTTGACTCAGAGTTAATCTGAATTAGATTGATAGAATGTAATGAAATAATGCCTTTTTATGTTGAGAAGTAGTGCAATCCACGCTAATATTCTCGTGATGATTTGAAGCAGAGTTTTTGGAATTCATCAGTATCAAATTCAAGATTTTTTTGGTAAAATATCTGACCTCGAACTCTCGGATTGAATGCCACTCGTGTTTCAAAATAAACGCAACCTTTCAACAAGTGCGTTGGATTCAACCTCATCTGCTTATGGTTACAGAAGGGAAAACTGGGCCAACTTAATTTTATAATTCCTCTAATTTACCCCGATAACGAGCCACTACTTTCCCAGGGGACTTTTTAAGTTATGTTTAAGTCCACCATCCACTTCTGTGGGGTTCATTTAGAAAAAAAACCAGAGGAAATCAGGGCAGGGGTGCAACATAAGGCGATCAGAGGAAGCCAAACATAAGGACTATTAAAAATCGCGTAAATCTTGGAACATGGTCTTGCGCATGAACTCGGATGCGCGCTATTAACCCTCATGTTTCAGTAAGTCAATGAGCCTCCTTCATTTAGTACTAGTGACCACAGTAACGATTTTGGTCAGTGTGTAAAACTTACTCGTAGCACGAGGTTCTTGCAAGCAATAAACTTCAGTTAGCATTTCCAGTTCTAGAGGCTTCTTCGGAGTCGCGTTTTTGACCAGATTTAATCAGCTCATATGGGAAATAACTCTACCTACTGAGTGAATATAAGCTCGTCCGCCGTTCCAGTAAAGGCCATTTTACATTTAATTTTACAATCTTTTATTGAGGTCAAAGTAATTCCACTTTAACCAGAGGCGTAAATACCGTACGGGCCCTTGAACCGAAAATGCAACTCACAGTGGTTCGCCAATTCCGCGTGCATGTCGGGCGTTAAGTAAGTGAGCGTGATTTATTGCCACGTCCGATAAACCAACCGGTTGTGCACGTGATGAAGCGACCATTCTTTTTTTCAGCCCTCGAGCAACATCAAATTCATGATTTTGCGTGGGTCTAGTTCGATGAACCCTCAAATTGATCCGTGGAAAAGGGCGGGTGATTGATGCGGTACAAGTTTACGCACGAGGCGATGATGCTTGTGGAGCTGAAGTGAGCAGCTGCACACGGAGGTAGGTGGTAGTCCACTTCCTAATACCCCAATTGCAATCGCTCACTGTCCAAATTTGGGTTGCCAGGTCAGTGACTTAGACAGTCAAGAGACTAATCACAGAGCCGACTGAACCCCCTGATGGTATACTGTGAGTGTGCTTAGGGACATGTCATATGTATCCTCAATGTAAATAATAAATGTATTTCGTACAATGACATCTAGTATTAAGAGTATACAGCAAAAATTCCCGGTGCAGCAGATATTTTTTATATATTTTTGGTATGAAAGATTAGAAAGTGCTGACGAAATAAAGGTTTCATGGGCGGCTGCTGCCGCTCTAAGTGTACTCGGCCTGTTTTTCAACGGCCTGGGCGTAGCCCAACGAATGGACGGGGGTGAAGCCTGGTGAGAAATCCCAGACGGTTCACCTGGGCTACGCACCTGTGGGACACCTGGGACTCCACTAGACATTTCACTAGGTGTCGTGAATCGCTGGCAGACAAATAAAGCCACTGTTTTTCTTTAAACTCAATTTGTTTGCATGAGTCGGCACTAGTGTCCAATGCTCTCCTCTGAAGTTATTCAGCGCCAGAATGAAAAGCCGATCAACAGCAAGGTAATAAGCCCGGAGTGGGTTTTAATGAGTGTAATTTAAGCTCAGTGATTGTTGTTTGGCTTTCGTTATGCAATGAATTGGTGAATTAGTCGTTGGTTTTGAAAGTGAGGTAGGCTGGATCAAAGCCCCGGAGGTGCTAAGTTAATAAATTCTAGAAACTGCAGCACTGTAAAATGAGGGGAATGTAGTAACGACTTTCCGGAATGGATAAGCGCCTGACTATGGTGTCTGTTGGTTTGTGATGTAGCCTTCAGAATGGCAGCGTTTAGCTTTTCAAAGAGCGTCCCAGTTACGACATTTGCTGCCGATCGACCAGGTTGTTGGCATGATGACAGTGTAGGAGAAGGGCAGAGCATGAAGCTGTTCACACGAAACTAGACAACAATGTACCATTTAGTGGATACCTTCATATTCCACTAGACGCTAGCATAATTGCACTCATTGGTCCCTATTTACAATCAAGCGCTGAGTTCGAAGATGAAATTTACAATGCGTGGATGTCATGTTCCACCCACACGGGAGGCGTTGTGGCTGACGAAGGTTCAGACATCTTCGCACGCAATCGACAGGCCCTAACACCCACGTGGCCGTTCAGGCATCCACTGGTATAAAAACACGCTCCTTTGTGGCAGTCAGTGTGTGTGGGGCGGGTGGACAAGACCACGAGCCTGAGTAAACAACACCCACGCGGAAATAAGCGTGGTGCAAACGAACCCCAGCAGTATATAAGGACGATGGAATCCCTCAACAGGCATAGACAGTTAGCCTACCAGATATGAACAACCGTGCCAACATTGCCATTCTGCTGCTGCTGCTCTCCTGTGGCGCATTCGCGGCCGTAACAAAGAGTCCAGGTCGCAGTGACAACGTGCTTGATAGACAGGAGGAC